CGTATTTCGTTCGGAAAGCGGTTTTCCATTCCTCGCCCTTAGCAATCCTAATCAGATTATAGCCATTTTTCAGGTCTATCTTCGTGAAGTAGAGTGCTCCTTTCGTTGCGTCGGCCAGCTCATTCATGAGTGGTAGTGGATAGCGGTTCTTGATCGTGATTCCATTCAAGCCGCGAAAGTCGACACATAACCGAAGCTTGCCATTAGCTTTCGGAACGAACAGGACGGGTGCCGCTGCTGGGCTAGTGGAGGGGACTACTTTGCCGGAGGGCAAGTTTTCGTCCAAATATTCCCGGAGTGCCTTATCTTCAGGTGGGGAGAGCGAGTAGATCGGTCCCCACGGAGGCTGCTTTCCTTCCATAAGAGGAATGGTATGATCCCATTCAGAGTGGTCAGGTAGTCGAGCGGCTCCTTCCTTGGAGAACACATCGGCGTATTCCTGAAACTCCACCGGTATAGCACTAACGAGAGCCTCGTTTACCGATGCTCTTGCCCAAAAGGGGTGTTGCTCGATCATCGTCTGCTTCTTGGGTGACGCCCTCAACAGCCTGATGACCAGCTCTTCTGGGTCTTGATCGTATATGTCCTCGACTGATACGAAACATCCATCGACTATACAGTTGTTGCTATGGAAGCTGACACTGTTGCGTCCCCAATGGATGGTTGGTTGATGCTCCTTGAGCCATCGATGTGGTATGACGAGGTCCTCTCCTGCAAACGAGCCAACCTCACAGGTGATAGCCCTGTCTAGATGGTTGCCGATGCGGAGGGTAAGAGGTTGAGTGATGTGAGTGCCGGAGTTGGGCATAGGGGTACCATCGGCCTGTCTGATGATGAGAGGCTTTGGTCGAGGTTGAGTGGGTATTTTCGCACGGTGGATACAGTCCCAGGACATAATCCAATCCTCCGTGCCACTGTCTAGTAGTGCGTTGACTGTTGCGACATGTTTGGTACTAGTTGCGGGGTGGTCCCAAGAGATCTCGATCTCGAGGCGAGTTTCTTGTGTGTTGGAAGACATATTGGTATGTTGGCTTTGATAAAAGGTTTTGGTATTGGTTTCGGGTGTGGGTTGGTTCGATGGTTCTTTCTGTTGAGCGCGGGGTGAGGGGGTTTATATAGAGAGTTCGAGTTGTTTGATGAAGATCATGGTACAACACTTACGCACCAGGCGTTTCGGGGTGAAACCCCATCCTCAGAGTATGTGTGAAGAGAATTGAATTTCCGCGCATATAACAAAACAAATATAGAAGAATCCCATAGCCAACCAATAAGAATAACCGTAATACATAAAAACCTTGTTTCCGTGACCCAAAAAGAACCGCAACGCAACATGAGATACCGAAAATAGAAATACCCAATCAATTTTGTTCCTCCAAGGTTGTAATCCTTGCCCTAAATGCCTCATTCTGGGGGCCCAATTTTCGCTTCTTTTCACCCTCCCTTCCGTGGTCCTTTCCTCCGGAAGGGTTTCGTTTCCTCTTCAGGTCGGTTAGCCTGACCTTACTCGTCGCCACGCAATCTTTCGCGAAGTGGTTATCTCTACCACAGCGGAAACATTTTCCTTCCTTTTGCCATTTCTCCTTCTCGTCCTTGGTGACACCTAAGTCATCCGAGGGCTTGGAGTTGTGTGCTGGCGCGGGGAAAGTTTTTCGAGGTGCGGGGTTGCGCGATTTTCGCCGTTCCGATTTTTCCTCCCGAGGTTTCACGACATCCTTGCCACGTAAGATTTCTTTCCGGGCTTTTACCTCGTGATCCTTTCGTCCAACCTTCCTAACCCATGCTAGCCATTCCGCGAAATCTTCTGGTTCCTCGATAGCATTCGAGAGGCGTTGTTCCAGCGAGGAGTTTATTCCTGTCAGGATCATGGATTTCATTACGATGGGCCCGACCTTCGCGTCCCATTCCAGATTCTGCATCTCATTGATATAATCATCGATCATGCCAGTTTGACGGAGCCTATCCATCTTCTGCTTGGCCTGTTCTTGACTGGTCCGATTGCCATATTGAATCCGTAATTCGTTTTTGAAATTCTCCCATGTCCCGATGCTGGGATCTACCGATAGTCGTTCCACGAAGTTTCGCCAGAATTTTGCCGCACTCCCGGTAAGTTCCAGGGATGCCCATAGGATCTTGGTCTGGTCGTCCCACCGGACTTTCCTCTGAAGTTCAATTAAGACTTCCATTTGGTCGATCCAGTGTCGCACATCTTCGTCGGCTTTTCCGGAGAAGGGGATTTTTGCCTGTTTTGGCGTGTCTCCTAGGGTGGCGCGAGGAGGATGCACGAGGTCTACCTCTTGCTGCCTGTTACGGCGCCTTCGCTCCTCCCGTCTTCTCTGCCTTCGTTCACGTGCTCGACGATCGTCCTCTGAATTGGAGGAGCTGGATGAATTGGAGGGGGATGGGTCTCGAGGCCTTCCGCGATTCCCACCATTACCATTATTGCCATTACCTCCGCTGCCTCTTTGCTCGCTTTGCTGGCTTCTTGCCTCAGAGCGGGGAGGTACGGGGGGTTGGCTCCCTGATCCTTCCGGTCTCTCTCCGGAATTGCTAGGGGGGTTCTGTGGAGGCTGGGGGGGTATTACGCCTCCGCCTCCTGAGCCTTCGGGGGCTGCGGCTGTTCTATTGGCTGCCACCCGCATCTGCTCAATGATTTCCTCCAGGTTTTTCTTCGTTCCTGCGAACTGGTCTTCCATCGCAGCTTGTCGGTCCCGTTCCATCCTTTCGAGGGCAGCCGCAACTTCCGCAGGGATCGGTACTGGGCCATCCTTTGGGAGTTGCTGGACGAAGTTGGTCAGCGCGTTTATGTGCTGATCCTGTCGTTCCTGCCTTTCCTGATGCGCCCTAGTTGCTTCGACGATCTGCCCAAGGACCTGACCGAGGTTGCTGGTAGCGGCGGTAGACTCCGCTCGTAGCTGAGCCATGACCTGGTTGAGCTGATTGTCGCGCTCGGCTCTGTCTCCAGCGAACTTGGCATGGAGGTCCTCGACGATCTTGTTGGTGTACTCCTGTTGCTGGCGGGTGAGTTCCCGGAGTATGGGGATATCGCGCACGTGCATACTGAGTTCCTCGATTCCTCGGCTGAGCTGCTGCACTACTGGAGCCCCTTGTCGCTGGACTTCTTGCCCAATGAGGTCGCCGAAAGGGTTCCCCACTCGTCGCTCCTCCACGTCCATGTTGGTATCCTCGTCGTCGTCCATTACCCGAGGTACCGAGGGCCTCTGAGTAGAGGATCTCTCTCTGATGGGGGTGACGTACGGGGAGTACTACCGGGGATCCGCCTGCCGCCTCCTCGCCTGCCCATATGATTCTTCCTGCCTCGTCGATGCGAAGAGGGAGCCTATCGGCACATCTCTCTCTTTCCTGTGGCGCCTCTTCGCCTGGGTTTCTAATATACCTCGATCTCTCAAGGCGATTGAACTCTCCATGTTGTAGTCTTCCTCCGACCGTTGCTGATGAGCCCTTGACATTGCTAAGTTGCTCGAGTTTGAGCTGTGGTTGTCTTCTGCACCAAGGCTGAGCAATGAACCAGGGGGCTGGATGAGCAAGTCCAAAAGATCGTTGGGAGAGAGTGATCTTGATTGGGAAGAGTTCTGGGTAGTTGAGGATTTCGGGGTCGTGTTCCTCGAAGGTAGCGGTGGTTCCTGCTTCTGTGAAGAAACCTGTGTAATGAAGGTAACCGCAGTATAGGTGTTCGGCGCTTCCTCTTCGTAGGATAAAGGATGTGGCGCAAAGGTAGTTATTGATGGCTGCTGTTGCCACTCGGGGGTGCATATAGTACCTTGGTCTTTCTAATAGACTAAGCGCTTATTCTTCTACTGAGAGCACGGTGACTATCCGCCACTAAGCAAAATACTCAGAGTATTGGTTTAAGCGAGTAGTTGTCTTATCGAGACTTTGGTGGTTTATGCGATAGGTAAAAAGTGAAAGTTAGGGATAAGGTACAATATAGTGTTTGGGGAAATAGCCAGTGCTAAGCGATAATTCTGTAGCGTTTTAACTGATGATATTGTAAACCGGATTCCCTTGACCTGGTGGTTGATGATACCCTCAAGTCTTCGGAGAATCCTGCCCTATTTATACATGTTGGAACCTATGCCAAGGCCCGCTTCCTAATACTAACTGATACAACGATAATAGAATAAGATAATGCTCCCGAAGATAACCCAGATAGAAAAGCGCCCCGCATAGTTCCGTCCTCCATTCTAATTCCGACACGTAACCATGAACCTTGCAATTGCCAGTCATCGGGCTGTACCATACTATTATCCTAGACCTACTTCCCTAAGTAGAACAGCCTACAGCCATAAGCCCCGCTTCCTATTCTATTTCCGGTGAGACACCCAATAGTAAGCGTGCCGTCATAATAGTATAATACTAATGTGGTAACACCGCGTGCCCCCACACTACCCGATACCTTTCTATGCTTGTCCTTTCGTTACCCGACCGTCCTCGCATCACAACCCGTCACTCGTATTCCTCACTGTTCTAAGCCTCTAGAACAATGTTCCGTAGTTCCTGTAACACATCCCCTTTTGGTCAGATTATTACTGTCCTCATCGGTAATATTATCATCCTAGTCTTATAATTATCCCGTTACACATATTAGCACTACCTAAGGTCCAACTACATGAACGACTATACGCACCGCTCGAATGGGTTTCTGATAGTGCTAACATTGCAGCTCAGCAGTTCCCCATATATCCATGTTTATCTGAATCCCGTGATCATCGCTGTACCGGCCGAGTCGAAGTGCAGAATCACGGAATTCCGTATCACAGTAAATAACACACCACAAAACACCAAGAACTCCTCGGGTTCTCGGGTATTTACCCTTCCGTGGTACGTCCCCTCATATATTCCAACCAGTTTAAACTTTAAGCGTTCTTTATAAAGACCTTATTTCCTCATATTCCAACTAATAACTAAACATCAGAATTCAAGGTCGATAACAAATCCCCGCTCTATATAGTTGAAGGATTTGTTGTATAGTATAATCAAAAATGGCACCGAAAAATATTCTCATCTTCGGCGGAACGGGCCCCTCTGGCGTTGCCACGGTAAACCTCGCCCTTGCCCATGGCCATAACGTCATAATCTATGCCCGCAACCCCGATAAACTCTCCCCAGAAACTCTCGCCCACCCAAATATTAAGGTCTTCAAAGGAGAGCTCACCGACACTGCATCTCTCTCTGCCGCATTTTCACAGAAGCCAGATGCTGTGATATCATTGCTTGGGCCTACCGCGTCAGCGTCGCTGATGCCATGGACGATTGGAGATACGTTTACAGATGGGTATCGCCGCATTATGGCTGAGATGAGGAATAATGGAGTCAAGAGGATATTGGTGATGGGGACAGTATCGATCTATGTTCCGGAAGACAAACCATCTTTGGGACGAGGTTTGTGGTGCTAGTTCTAAAATTGAGTGGGTCCGAGGCTGACGTAGATGGCCGACAGCGTTTCTTGTATGGATTGTGTATCTACTGGTACATGCGGCGTGGAGACAGATTATAGGGATTAGTGAGCTCTTCCAAAATGAAGCTCAGGACCTGGATTGGACTATCTTTAGAATTGGAAATTTGGGCAATGGTAAGTTTTCCCCGTTCCCGGTTGGAGGAGATGGGCTAATATCGGTATTTGTGGAGGCCCAGTTGGGGAGATTTCTGAGGGGTATATTGGGGATGGGAATACAAGTCTAGGAATTCAGAGGTCTGAGCTGGCTGAATGGCTAGTGGGAGAGGCCGAGAAGGATGATAGTCGATGGATCAAGGGATTTCCATCAGTGAGTACGGCGCTAAAGAAGAAGGTTTAGGATCATAAGAGGACGATGAGAGTGATTGTTTCCACTGAAACTTTGAAGGGATTGGGGTAATGGTAATTTGGAAAGAGGATAACTGCGTCAAGCACAAATCCAGTTATAAATCTATTACCGATCTACATTCCGGGGTACATCGACGTCTACTCTAGCGGTGTTGCACCCGCATAGGAAGGCCAAAATTAGCAATGTAATGTATAGAGAAAATAATGGTTCTAGGATCTACTCCCCAAACCTGTGTTTGTTTTTGAGCTAAATAGAGCAATATTAGTTGCTTGGCCGGCACCAGATATTCGTATAACCATTTGAACAATCAATAGCTGGAATTCTAAGCCAGTAAGATACCCTGATCGATACTAGAACCAGGGAGTAGGATAGAACTATTTGGTACTAATAAATACTCTTGATAATCGCGGAAGGTAAATTTAGTTCCTTTTGCCTTATAAAAACTGAAACCCCGTGTCTCATTGGCCTGAGGAGGATCCCAAACAGAGTATATGGAATTCGAAGGCCGTTCTGTATGGTATGTAAAGTAATTAGTCCGTAGATGGAGAGTTTTCTCTAAAAGTGGATATGTCGGCGCGAAATTTGTATATCGGGAGATGACTCGAAATTGAAGGCTTGTCCTCATGTAGGCCGCGCATACAACCCCGCCGCAGTTTTTGGCTGTAACTAGAATCACGTATTTACAAGGTACTTAGTTGCCCTTGGGGATGCTTTATCATAGCATTATTTCTTCACATCAGAACTGCATGTTGATGTATCCCAACTTGCAATGACAGTACTTGGCCCCCGGATCATTGTCTATTAAACTCGAGAATGACAAAAGTACTTCTCAATTAACTCCGCATCATGTAGCTAATCTATGATATTCACCCGGTTCCCCGCAGTCAAAAGAGCCAAGTGATATCCAGCTTCCACATATATATGCTTGTAGCTTGTTCGGACTTGTTTTTTCTGTGCCTGGAGATCCTCGGTAAGATCGTCCCCGAGCTACATGCATGCATACCTAGTAGATCATCCGTCTTGCATACATTGAGCTAGAGTAGGCAGGTACCTGAAGCACATATACTTGCGTGAAATTTCATAAATACCTGCAATACGCCCACCATTTTCATAAGTCTCAAAGTAAATAGAACAGAAATGATTAAGCTCGTCCGTGTCTTCGTATTTTCCGCCGCCTTCGCGGCTGTCTGCGCCCACACCGCAGCGGCACCCCCCACCTCAGCTGAACTCGAAATCATCGCAGAAAAGTTCGAAGCAGCTGAAATTGTTTCGGATGTTATACCTTTCTTCGAGCCTTCTGCGCTCGCGTATCTCAGTTTCGACTATAAAAACGGCACTATAACAGCCCTTGCCCCCGGGGCTCGCATTGGTCGCAACGGTACATATAGCTTTCCTGGGTGATGCTTCTCGCATGAGAGCTGATGTTGTAGATAGATTCCCAGATCGCACCCATCATTTCAATTCGCGGCCTACAACCCAGCAAGACCGATAAGTACGTGGGTGTAATAGTAGACCCTGACGCACCCAGTCGCGAGACTCCCACCCGACGGAATATAAGACACTACATTGCCAGTGATCTCATCATTGGTTCCGAATGCTCGCCCAACGGCAACATCATTACTAATACTACGGCTGCGGCGAACGAATATCGCGGTCCTAACCCGCCTGCTGGCTCAGGTCCACACAGGTATGTCGTGCCACCTGATGTATGTACCACATGATGCCCAATTACTGATTGAACTGAAACAGATATGTATTTTTCTTGTATCGTCAGCCAGAAGGTTTTGATGTTTCCTTCTCAGATGTTGATTTGAGCGTCATCGCGGGGTTCAACTTGTCTGCGTTCGCGGAGAAGACGGGGCTTGGCGGGCCGGTTGCTGGGACGTGGTTCGAGGCTGAGGTCGTGAACGGAACGACCACTGCGGTAGTTTGATTGATATACCTAGGGTTTTATTATAATTATAGTTTTTGCATGTTTGTCTGTGATGTTGTTGGTCAGTCCAGTTAGGGCATGAAGGATCGAATACGAGGTGTAGAAGAGGGGAGGTTCAAGCTCACGGCTAGAGCCCGTATCTATTGCATGCCAAACTCCACTCGTGCAAAAGACAGCTCACCCAAAAGGCATATATATGTCTCACACAGTGCCCTACCACACTCTTAATGGTACTTGAGCATCCCGGCATGATTGATCGACAGGTCCTTTCAGCACTTTGAAGGGTTCTTTTCTTTGCTTTTCTCTTCCTCGGCCAGTGACGATGCGTTGTTGGTAGGCTGTTTTTGGCCTATGGGTTGGTTGGAGGCCCAGCATTGACGCAATGACCACGCCACGACAATTGGGGAGTTAGTACATAAGGGAGCTGATTTTCTCCCAAACATCAACCAGCGCCTCCTCCTCACCGTCGAGTACCTCCTCACCGTCGAGTATCCTCATCAATCCCTTCAACTGGTGTGCTCCTTTCTCCTGACCTTGTTCTCGCTGAACTCATGCTAACACCGCCTAGCCCATCGCGATAATCATCATGAAGCTTCTCATCATCACCCTCCTCTTGGCTCTTCTCCTAACACTCATCTCCGCGTTACCAACCGATAAGTCCTACTGCCCCGGGCCCTCACCTGCTCCATCGGAGCCTACGCCCGCCAAAGTATGTCCAACGGGTACGTACGAGGGTTGTATCAACGATTTCGTTTGTACACAATCGTATCCGGAATCGTGCATTTGTAAGAACAAAAACATACAGGCGTGTGCGGAGGCCTGCGGTGCTCCAACCCCGGAGTTAGCTGTCTGTGGTAGTTCCGGGCCGCAATGATTAAGATGTGGGAGGATTTTTCATGGGTTTATATGACTGCTTTATTGATGCTAGTTGGGAATGAAAACTTGAGGTGATCCTGATGTTGGGTTATCATGATTCTCTCTCCATACATATATATCTTTCTGTATATTACAGGGAAACAAATTCAGACGAATTTCCGCTTCTTACATACCTTTTCATGATCACATCTTACCCCACAATTCTTGGATCATATGTGCAAATAAGCTTAAAAAAAGAAACCCACTCTCGCTAGAGTACACTCCCCCCTATTGATGTCTATGTCGGCTGTAGGTACCCAATTAGTGAACTTCCCCCATTCAGTGTCTCACACCCCACAATCTAAATCAGGGACGACTTCTATCGCCCGCATAAAAAAGGGAGGTCGGAGAAGTCTGCGAACACCGATATTTCTCCGTTGCAGGGCTAGGGGTATCGATGCCGAATCCTTGAACCTAGGAGGTTTGATCGATATTGTGACAGCGGGCGACCGCGAAATCAACTCGCGGAAAAGAAGAAAGGGGATTAGTGGGTAATTGAGCCGGTGAAGCATGGATGATACATATGAGATAGAGGTGATTACATGTATGTATTCATAAAGGAACAGAATAGGGGGAAGCATATATCAGAATTGAGCGTGAGATGCATTATCTTAATTCCAAGACGATTGCAATTTTGAAGGAACGGTATCTTGTCATACATTTATTTCATTCCCTCATCTGTCAAGTCTCTGTTTCTTGCCATTCCTGCTATTCCGGTCTCTATGGGCGCTTGGATTCCCCTGGGTCATGATCTGGGTGGTGTAAGTTATGATGTAGTTGAGATTTGAGCTGAGTGCTTCTGTTCTCAGGCACTGTGTGTTAGTTATAGCCGAGCGAATCGCCAAGATGGAATGACGTTAGTACGCTGTCAGGAAGTGTGGGAGAGTAAACGTAGCCAAAGTTTATCACTTTTGAACTTATCAACCTCATCTCATCCCAATCCATCATCTCCTATCGGCTACGAATAGGTTCCAGAGCTCAAGCCACCGCTCTCCACAATTAATAATTACTCGAGCAATCAAAACCTGACCTTGGGATAACTACATATATTTGCATAAAGAAATTCATGGTTCTACCAAGCCAGGATTTTAAACGATGACAAGCTACTATCATGATCTCGGGTTTAGCTAGTTGTTCACAAGTCAAGTTTGGGTTATCATTCTTAGCGCTAAGACTACAGAAGTCAATCATCTATCCACTGTATGAGCGGCAAAGTAAGTGCACTAGTTGGTTTCTCTCGTTGCATCATGGATTATCACTTGCAACTTGGCAAGCGAAAAAGCTCGGTGATGTCTGCAGTCCTTATATTTGTCGGAGTTTTGACACAAAAGTCTTCAGATCGTCGAAATAGATTCCTCCATTATACTACGCACTGCACCGTGCCGACTCCGCCCAACCGACTTCCGAATGCCCAGGTTTCGGTTCGCATTATTCCGAATCCTCACCCGGTACGACACACCGAATATGTGGGGGAAAAGCTAAGCATTTAGCCCCAGACGGAAATCTTTACTCCATCCCACCGAGCTGCATACAGAGATGCTGGGGAAATTTAGCCTCACCCCAGATACAGCCTTTCTCGCTTCAAAGTACAGCAGAAAAACAGGAACAGATGCCATTGATATTAGTATTACCCCCCTTCATCCGGGGGAAGGGAAAAGCTAAATCTACGCAACCTGGTAGCGAACAAAATTATGGAAGATAAATAAACTGCTGGTTCCGCCCTCGACTCGTTGTTCAGTCCACAGCTCCATCATTCTCCACAATCTCGCCATAATGAAAGTTTCAGTTCTTCTCTCACTCCTCGGAGTCTCGTTCCAGATTGTAGCAGCTGCCCCAGCAAAGCACCAGAAGGCTGCCGAATCGAAGCCTTCGGTGTTCCTTTTGGCAGGAGACTCCACGACTGCTACTCAGGCTGCCAATGGCGGGGGTAAGTTATTATTCACCAGTCCGTTTTTGGTTTGGGCGAAATCTGATCTTGTGTATAGGTTGGGGTGACGGATTCAAGAACTTCACACTCAAGGCGCCGAGTTTTGCCATAAACTATGGTCACAATGGTGCTACAACGAGCTCATTCATCTCAGGAGGGGATTGGGCCACGGTGTTGGGGAAGGTAGAGGCATATGCTGGTAACAGCACCGTTTATGTTACAATTCAGGTATGTCACTATATTAGAATCCTTGAGTAGAGCATGTTGCTAACGTTACTGTTGTGTATTAGTTTGGGCATAACGATATGAAACTCACCAATTACACTGAAACCTTCAAGACAAACCTCCGCCGGATGGTAGCCGATGTCAAAGAAAGGAACGGTGAACCTGTATGTAACTCTTCAACCTTAAGTGTGAAACTCTCAAGTTTCCCAAACTAACACTTCACAGGTCCTCGTAACCTCGCTCTCACGTCGTAACTACAACGCCAACGGCACCATCGCCGATACCCTCGCTCCCTGGGCCGGGTACGCCATGGAGGTCGCCGAGGAGACTGAAACCCACTACATTGACCTGTGGAAGAATTCGGTGCACTACCTCGAGCAGATTGGCCAACCTGCATCGCTAAAGCTGGCGCTGAATGACAATGATAGAACCCATCTTAACGTTCCTGGGTCGATTGTTTTTGGCAGGATGGTGAGTGACTTGTTGAAGTGGGAGATTCCTGCGATTGGGGAGGTGGTTAAGGAGAACGCTACACTGAGCGAGCAGATCTGGAGCGGGGTTGCCACCTTTTAAAAGGCTTGGGACTATCATCCTTTAGACTTTAGATCCGATGCCATATAATGTAACTACTTTGTACAGTTCATAAACTACAAATCACGATCCCCCTCTGATGAAGGAAACAGTACGTAGACTCAAAAGCTGTAAATGCTGTGAACTGATCTGGTGAAGTGACGACCGCTCAGAGTACGCTAGAACTATCAGCTTTATAAATTTATCATTTCATACTCTTAAAAATACGGCTAATAACACCTGCCAAAAACCTCCTTGCAACCCTTGACCATGCTACATGTGCACCTAATAAACCTACATGTATATACTACACATACACACCTCACCATGGCTAAAATAGACGTTCTCATATATTACGTAGTTGTATTTCCATCCGAGACAATTGCAAGTAACGACGTTTCCAATATACAGCAACTGCCTTAAACAGTTTAATCAACATATGACTCCCCATTCATGATTCATCACTCGGCTGGCCAAACTCGGACAAACACTGCATACACCCACGGGCTTGATAACTGCAGGTACGCATACGTATGGAAATCTAGACCATGCACCCTGCGCGCGTACTTGACACCCACCTCTCTCGCACTGCACCCGCAGAAAAGTACTCGAGAGTGCCTAAGCGAAATTTCAGGTAAGGGATGATCCAGGAATATTGGGCGTTGAACCAAGGGTTCCTAGCTCTAGTTAGTAGGCCTAGGCCTCTTTTTTTTTGAGCCTCGAAACCGATTAACTAATGCATTCGTAAGGTTTTTTTTTTTAAAAAAGAGGGGAATATCCACAATATAAACTACATGTAAGTGAAATCTTATGTTCTTCCCCATGCAGGCCGCTAACCCAATATAACCCATCCCACCAAAAATTCCGCTGTCCCAAGAAATATAAAGTAAAAAGCTTAATCCCCATTTTTCTACATGTATCCCATGCCAAATATAATGTATGTGTTACCCAAAAACGCCCATAACTAATGCTGCAAATAAGAAGAAAGAATTAGAAAGAAAGAAAGAAGGTACATATTAAACAGATCCGGATCTATCCGTCTTCAGGACCACTCTAGGCGGGTAAGAATACAAGTTTTCCGTCTCCGTCTCGGACTCTGTCCAAATCTGTGTTCCCAAAAAGTCTCCCCGCCATGGCGATTTCTTCGATCTCGACCGGCTCATGGACTCGTCGAGATTGATATCTATCTTCTGGACTACCTCTGTCCGAGTCTGTGATATTTGAACGTTAGAAATTGTCTTGGATAGTTGTTTGGGCTGGTGATAGACTAACCTCAATCACAGATATCATTTCATCATTCCTCGTCAGGGATCCAACACTATCTTGACCCGTTACAGGCATACGTCGTCGTCTCGCATATGAAGAGTTGAGTTGGTATTGGTTGTGTTCAGTGGCTGCGTGTTTGCGCACTTTTTGTATGAACGAGTTAAGAACTGGCGCATTTGCGACTACGCAGGCCACAAAGCACTCAATTGAAGCCCATAGTGTACGTGCCTTCTGCACGGACTGATCACCAATGATAACTGGCAGACGGACAATTGTAACAGCCATAACGAAAAATCCGAGGCCAAAGAGGACTAGGAGTTGAATCTTCCTGATGAGAGGAAGTCTGGATTTGAAAACCATGGGTAAAGGAATGAGGATGAGCATTGCGTCAGTCAGTATGTTGAAAGTTGCCATGGTTAATAGCTGCGCGACAGCTTTCACACACTCTATAAATTTTGTCAGTAACAGAAGGAAAAGGCGGCAATACTATTTTTTTTTCTCACCTCCAGGATATGGCGACATTTGCCCTGCGACATATTAGTATGAAAAATGGTTGATTGACCAGGCTGAAGAGGACTTACAATATACAGGAAAGGGGCGGCATTCAAGTACGGTCCCAAGTATCACCGCAATGAAAGTGATCCCGCAGGTCAAGTACGTAAAATCGATAAGCAGACCATACGGTTTTGACCTAGCCGTCAGGCGCTCATAGAATCCCAAAATACAAACTTTCATACACCACAGACTTTACCTCTCCCAAATTAGTCCATCTACTCATATGAATTTCCTTTCCTTCAAACCCAGATCAAAGACTCACAATCCAGCGTAAAATACTCTACTAGCCAAGATCAACTTGCTTCCCACCACCCTTCGATGCATTTCCTCCTCACTCATACCCATCACATTAATCTTATCAAAGTCGATATTATTTGTTCCATAGACTAGCACCATGTGTATTATGCCCAATCTGATAAATAATGGAGCCAACGATATTCCCATCCATGTGTCGTCCGTGTACATTCGTTCGCCGCGGTGGAAGCGAAAGAGGAGGCGGGTGACTATTAAGATGGCAGAGAGGAACGTGCAGACATAGGTAACTACTATTGAGGAGATATTGGATTGAGACAGCATGTTTGCAGTTCTTTAAAATTCGGTTTGTAGCTGTGTAGTAGCAGTAGTTGCAGTAGTGCGTTGGGGTAGTCGCAGTAATTCAAGTTCTGTCTTATTGAAGAATCCTATCCTCAGCAAACTATTCTGAGGGCGCACTGATTCAGGCCTATTTTTGTCAATGTTAGTTCTTATCCCAAAGCCCAAGTAAAATGCACCTCTACCCACCCTCATTATTCCAAGACACGTCAAAAAAGAATTGATTGATTGACGAGTACCACCACCAGGGCTGGGGTGAGAGGCAAGCAGGTAAGCACAGGAAGCTGGAAATCGATACTACTTTAAACACCTTGCTGAGTATTTCCGGCCTAGAATGGGTGTGGGGAGGGGGATCTCGACAATATATGTAAAATGTCGAACCATTTAATTCGTGGGAGGGAGAAAAAAAAAGAGAGGGTGTGTGGGAGAGGGGACGCCCTTAGTAGTAAGTAGCAGGTACGAGGAGTAGTTTAGTGGTAACCCTGAGCCCATCCCTGCGAGTAAGGGTGATGGTGAAGATGAACCCTGGCCTAGCTAACCTGTCCGCCACAAGTGACAGTGTAGAAAAGCGTAAGGTGCGCGGTACTTACATAACTGCCTACTCGGGGCAGGCAAGAAGAACCTGAAAATGTAAGCTGCAAGTAGAGGCTCAATTTGGTGTAGCTTTTTGCCAGCCGCAAATCAGAGGTCGTTACCATAAAAAGTCATTTTCAGGTTCTTCTTGCCTGCCCCGAGTAGTAGTCCTTCTATCCCAATCCAGTAGCTACCTGTGTCCTGTACCTACACTTGTACTCAGATGGGTACTCTAGGGTGCCTACATACGTAAAGTACTACACAGGGTACTCGTATTTTGTGGAGCAAGGGGGTGGATATGGAAATTGTGGAGATACTGGCCTTCTCTAACGTCCTTCTCTCCCGAACAAGTAAAGTCGGCGGATAGTTGTGTTCCATCTGCATCTAATATCTTATTACGCCATGGGTGCGTGAGGAGTGAGTTCTCTCCCGAAAGCATGCGATGTGGGTGTGGTGCTATGACCCAATCGTCCAAGAGAGAAAACCGCAAAAAAGTACTTTACCATCCCGGATTTCCCCCCGCAAAATCAGAGCGTCTATTTGAGTAGAGTAGATATGCATGCATTAGTAAGGTTTTATTTCTGAGAAAGATTGCGTGGAAGGACACATCTGGAAGCTCACAATATCGGCGCAGATACACTCTACAATATTAACATGGTCAACTTGATATACCTCTTGAGACACCGAACGTCAAGCTCACTTCCGTTTCGAGAGCCACTGGTGGAAGCTTCGGTACGGCCTTATCGCCGGTGTGGGTCCAATACAAGACCGTTCCAAATGGCTTCCCGGTGAATCTCAAAGCTTGCGCGCGTACGGGCTTGATTGGGAAGTGCGAGACAACTGATTCGCCCCAACCCATGATCGACCAACCAGAGCTCTACGGATGATTTCCGGACGGAAAGGTTATGACCATGCGTCTTCGAACATGCTTTTTGCTGAGCCTCGTTGCACCACAGCAGTACAGCATCGAAAAATAGACATCACGGGCGCAATTTCTGTGAAAGGTATATGTAGCACATTATCGAAGTGTTCAAATGTCGGGGTAAGGCTTGCCTGAGTAGTTGTCCGTGTTTGGCTTTTATTGGCGGATTTCTATTAAGTTAATCAACATCACGGGTGTCTCTGGCTAGATAGTATCATCGAGGCAAATGAAACCGCTCGTTCTTTAGGTGCTGTAAGTATGTTAAGACAGTGGTGTCAGGTATGCACATATCTACTCTAGCAATCGATATCGCCCATATCAAGAGTTATACCTCAAGTTCTGGACACAAAACCCTTACTTCTACACATGCATACTCGACTGGGTAAAGAAAACCCTTGCATAAAACACTAAGTTCTTCTTTCTCAGCACTAGCTAATACATGCAATGCAGCCTGGCCTTGTCTTGTTTTGACACCGAGTGTGATTTCTCTTGGTTGCATCAGTGTACGGACGGCTCCGTATGCATGATTAGTTTAGTTTAATTCCTGTCCCCGGAATACGGCAGAGGTGAAGAAGTATCGTCGATCAACGTCGGAATTCCAGAAGGCCCCAAAGTTTCCAGTAAGTGCAATCATTAATTTATTCTCAATGAACGAGCAGACAAAGTGCATATATTGTAATCATTCAACGTTGGCCCTCAGGTTTGACAGGTCGCTTTTTTTTCTTTCTCGCTAGTATCATCACAATTGACGGTGCATCCCCGGATCATTCGGCTCTTGGTGGCTTATACTTACAGTCCCGCCGCCGATCAACACTAGATAACCTCGAGTACAAGCTCCTTCCGCGCGCATCTCGACCCAAAACACACACCTTGGCCCGCCGCGGCTCAACTAGGCCCGGCAGACAGACGAAATTCGAGCTGGTGAAACATCTGGTTAGTCCATCGCTGCTGATGTGTTTTTAAGCTTATGCTGTGCATGAGGTTGACGATTTCCTGGGCGCGGATCGAGGCGGGGCAGAGGGGCTCGAAAACTTTACCTCGTGCTCGATTTGCAAATAGATATGTATCATAGCCATAGCCAAACCACAATGCAATGCATATGTAGCGGCTGCCTATGTCTATGCTGAATCACAACATCGTATCCGAGTCCCCTCGAGCTAGAAACAGCCGAGTTATTTCGGTTGAAAGGATGGATGTACCTGACGATCATATCTTCGAGAATTAGCGTACTTGAGTACTATGTAGGCATAGTTGATTGCCGCAGTACCCTAGACGTTATGTAAAGAAAAGAGAAATCCTTCGATTGAGGAAGCTGATCGAAAGACGACTAGACGAGACAGGCCCAGGGTACATAGAATAGATAGAGTACATACTCTAGATCGATAGCTGAATGGAGTAGAGTAACTTACTAATCTAACGACAGCACACGCAATATGAGTCTACGAGTACTAGCTAGTCCGTGCGAGTCTTATAATCAATCAATCTATGCGTAACCCCCTAACCCTAATCATATCTGTGCTTCTAGGGGCTCTGTCTGAGTGGTTGGGCTAAGCGAAGTGGCTACGGCTCTAATCTATGGGCCTGGGGGGACTGATCTAGCTCTTAGCTTTTGTGTGGTGGCTGTCGAGTAGAGGAGAGATGTGTATCTTCCTTCCACGGTGGCTGATTCTGAGTGCTTTCTCAAGTGGCATGCATGAACTACATGTAAGCACATAGCATGCCCCCAATTGCAAGGTGCCTAGCTTCTCTCCTGACATGTTCTTTTGTAGAATTCCGTGCATCAGTACATACATACTCTAAAGCTTGATTACATATAACTTAATTAATTATATATTAATCAATTAAACCCCACCTTTGCTACATGTATTGCTGTGATACGAAAAACCCAGCCTACGAGTTGCGGGGCTAGGGTTATCACAACAACCCGATAAGCTGGCCCTATCACCTCTATCACCACAGGTCACTCGCGCTGATGTGAGACATCAACTACATGCACCTATATGTTCCCCAAACTATACCAATATTTCTGGTCTTAGCACACACTGACACGAGAATACGACACTCGAGCGCCCCTGCCGTGGAACACAAGACTACCCACTTATAATACCTGGCTCGATCGCGACCCAGCGGAAAGTCTTCCATCTCAAGCTGACCGTCGCATTGTCGGTGAGTGGGGTCAAGTGCTAATATCGTCTGAAACCCCGCGAGCTGTGGTGGGGGGGGGGGGGGGGTACGTGCGTCTGGGATGCGAGCAGTTCAGTTATGTACTGACAGGTGACGTCGCCGAGCTGGAGTAGTGCAGTTGTTATTTCGGCCAGACATCTCGTGGAGGCGGGCTATTGAGCGTCAGTTTTATGTATCCTCTTAGGACGCTCTGTATGTTCCGGGATGGTGTGTTTCGGGAGGTTGTGGCTTGCTTGTTCCACACACACGACTTCCGGCAATGATGGCATGGCAGAAAGGTATAAGTAGACAGGTATACGGTGAAACAATTATCGTGAGTGGGTAAGTAAGGGGATGCTGATTCGCTTACAGGCTGCTGCTGCGGGGAGGGATGTGTTGTGTTACGATTTCAAAAAAGGAGGGCGGGTTGGCGAGGAACTCAGGTATAAAGGTTTCATTTATTGGTGACATCTAGCTAATAAAAGCTCTCTGATAGGAGGTCCGGAGAGAACGCCTGTTTCACACTCTGTGCTACTTATTACTTTCAAGACCACATATCTAACGTCACGACTGGAACTTAATCAAGCATTGCGATTGGAGCTTCAGAATCGAGTGCTGGTGTATGATTCAAACACCTTTTTTTTTTTTGTTTAATTCATTAATTTGATTCAAACACCTAGAGGTGCAACGCGCAGGCGCAGTGTTTGCAACCCATTACGCCCTTGGCCGTGGACACAATACCAACCTTCCTTCTACAAGTCTATGAATCACTAACAGTTACAGCTTAAACTCTATTTCCCCTGGACCCGTCCGTGGTGGAACCTATATAGCTTTATCGGGTGGCCACACACCACGGGTCCTGCATACAAATCTCCTGAGTCCTTTATCCAACCTCCAGCACAGGCATGTTTCAATTCGACAAATTTATATATGTTTCTAGCACTCATGCGCAAGATTGAGGAATCTCCAACGATAGATAGTACTGTTATACACTCTCTAGTCTCACACACCACCACCCGCACCGACATCCGCTGCTGTCACCACATTTCCCACGCACACCAGGAGTTCGTCTATACCAGCCAGTCATATCACCCAATCTTCAAAACAAGACGCAGGAACCCGACGCCCAGCCAAGACCGCAGAGCGGGTGATAATACATGACGCGCCCCCGCACGACCCCCATCAATGACTTCCAACCACCCTCGCCAGGGAGCAGAAGAACATCTCACGCAGATCTATAGGCGGTACATCTTGCGCATCTTGCGTAGTATGCAGTGACGGCGCCTCGAACACTAGCGGGATGTCATGTGCGGCGACCATTGCCAAGGCCGGCCAAGATTAAGCCCGCCTATAGGATAACCTCCACCGCCCGCCCTCTTGCCATCCATGTCATGCCGTATCCCATCTACCCCTTATCTTCCTACTAATATTTATGTCGTATATATCTATACGCCGGCGATATCTCTTCTACTTCCAGGAGGAAAACGGGTGTTTATGCCTAATGGCCGACGTGGAACTTGGCAAGTAGGAGGGGGGGATGGTAAGTGATGCATACCCCCTTTCTGCCCTGTGAGAACGTTGAAGCGTCAGGTTACACCTTGCTACATACGCCAGGACTGAGGGTGTACGGTAGGCGCTGTGTCTGCGGCAGCGAGGTCGTCCCTCCATCTACGCGTGCATGGTTGTACTATCTCACTTCAGAACCTATGGAGATGGTATAAGTCCCGGTCTTTATGGCCACGATAATTGTAAGTAGTGCACCTACTTGCAACAAAACCTTAGAGGGCCGCCGGCAAATGGAACAGGGTTAGGGTTATATATCAATCCAATCTCCCCGCTCTCTACGTCTTCAAAGACGCGAGAAAATACTATCTAACGCAGAAATAAAACATAATAGCGTAATCCTGTCTCCTACTCACTATTGTTAGCGTTTATAATTTAGTTTGGGGAGAGAAGTTGGCTGTTGGACTTGATTTTCGCAGGGCTAACCACCGTTTTCATGGTGAGGCGTGTTTCTAGTATATTAGCAGGCGTTAAGAAACTGAAAGTCCTAAATTTGAGCCTGCAGACCTCGGATTTGAGCGGGATACCCAGCATGCAATTAATGAATTAAACAAAAAAACAAAAACAAAGAGCGGGGTACCCAGTGCATCCGAAACCGAGTGATATTTCATGATTAATCCTAGTGGGTGCGTGTAGTCCAATTGGTCCAACTCGGCGTTTTAGATACGCTGCGTTATATTGAGCGTTGTAGGATACACTATTAGTCTCAGAACTATCCTCTCAACTCCCGTATGTAAAACTGTTTGATGGGGTGAAGCAATTATGTTTAAAGCTAACAATACTCAAGAAAGGAAGGACCTTTTAGTCAGCCCAGGAGCTATGTACCCCAATCAGATCGCCAAGTCGAGTCATAATTAGGGTTATTATTTCTGTCAAGGTAGTAGATAGGCGCTGGAGCCAAGTTTAGTAAACCAGCTGACTAGAGGGTAATGATCCCCACCCCCACCCTGGCTGTTGTTTATTGATTGTCCGAGTGTCATCACAATTGAAACCACTGCAGTAGTACGATCAAAAGTTCTTTTTTAAAAAGACGATATTTGCATTAAACCACAGCTGACTCTGTTATACAAAGGCTATCCACACCGCAACCTCATTACGTGTACTCCGCCGTCCTCATCCTACACTCATTAACCAAAAAAAAAAAAGACAAAGAAAAAAAAAGAGTAAACTCCATTAAAGAACGCTTCCAGACCGCAAAACACACCCAAACATCAAACATCACAATCATTCACTCATCATAACTCATCTCTCCCTACTCCCCAAACCCTCCACTCTACTTTACCAATACCGTCCCCTCCTCTCACCAACCGTCGCGTCCCTCCCCCTCCTCCAAATCATCCCCGCCATCACCGCCGTAAAGAAGAACAACAGCACATTCAAAATCCCCAGCCCCCACGCCGCCTTATACATGGAGCACGTCCTATCGACCCTCACGCCGACATTCCAGTTACCCCACCCGGCATTCGACCACGCGCCCACACAGTCCGTGTTCTCCGCAACCCTGCCCAGCAGCACCACGCCCGCAATGAGCACGCCAAAGAAACACAGATCGACAACGGCAACCCACAGGTCCGTGAAGCGCCCGCGGTGGAAGAGGAACAGCGTTACGAGCGCCCACGCGGTCGCGAGGATGGCCACGACAAAGAGGCAGAGCACGGTGTCGGGCGCGGTGAGGCCGCGCTCGTCGGCTTGGTGAACGAACCAGGCGAGGATGCCCCAGATGGGGATGAGGGTGATGATCTGCAGGATGCGCAGGAAGAAGAAGATGGTGCCGGCGAGCATGGCTGCGGTTGGTGTGGGTTGTTGCTCGTGTGTAGTATGTAGTTTATGGTAATGTAATAATGCTTAAGATGGTATGAGAGGGGGGGATCCAAACTCGACTGGCACCGAGAAGGAGGATAGAGGAGGAGGAGGAGGAGGTAGTATTAAACTGATACTTTGCTTTGCACTGTCTGTCTGATTACAATCCGGGGGGACATTCCACAAGCCTTATATCCTGCCCTTCCCAACTCCAAATCATCCAAAACAAGACTTCCCCTACCCCAGGAATCCCAGGAAATGCTACCACATCATCATCCTCTCCAGCTACGTAGTAGAGGAACCGCCCCTAACCAAGTTTGAGCACGCACCCGCCGCCCTCCGGCCAATCACCAACCACCGCCCAACCAAGCAAGCACCTACCCTCCGACCAACCAACCAACCACCAGCCACTCAAGAGGAAGAGAGCATGCATGACGTGACATCTACTCTGCAGGCCACCACGGCCTTGGTCTACGGCGCAACAGCCCCATCGCATCGTGCCAGCAGATCATCGAGTGCAGCTGTTGCACCACCGCATCCATATCCAAACAGGAGCAGTACCTCCTCTACTTGTGTGTGTACCTGGGGAGGTCGAGGGGTGTTTGGGCTCCTTGCGTCTGTATGAGGAACCTTACGCTGGGCAGATCTGAGGTACCTTACTTGCAAGTTGCAGTATATCTACTAGTATTCTAGATACATGTATGCAGAGTAGTAGTGCCAGGGACAGCAACAGATACCAGGACAGCATCGTCGTGCTAAAAAGCCTACTCGTTTACCACGAAAAGAACCAGTTGCTCAGGGCAAGGATTATTTGTATGGGGTGGCGGTGATCTCTCATACAAATCATTACTGTTTCCGTCACTTGCATTTTTTTGTTCTTACCCTGGTATACGAGTCGTTAGTTTTGAGTAGTGACCATTGCAAGGCCTCTGACCAGGCTCTGTTTTTCCCTTCCCCGCCAGCAACCGGCGAGGGATCTTGCTGTTCTCCAGTTTCTCCAACCTCGTGATTGGTCGGTCGGCTCAGTTCATTAGGATTGGGCTGTCCACTTCTTGCACTCACTGGGGGGATGTTTGAGGCAGCAGGGTTCGCGCACAGCAGTTGTTAACGCTAGTTACGTCAGATATGATATGGATCCCCGATGACGTATCGGTCCAGTGTAGCACGGATTATCATTGTTCCCTGCAACGCAAATAATTAATGCGCAAAACCGGTTAGGGTGAAACACCGCCAACCAATCATCATGGAGACTCTTTTATGCCTGAGAATGCTTGGAAGACCGCTCTGTTTGGTAGGCGCGCTTCTGCCAAGGGGTTGTGATTGGCAGGGTTAGGGTTGGCAGTGGGCAGGCAGGTGGGGCTGGGCGGGCATCACTGTGCAGGAGAGATGGAGAGACGATCGGGGGGGCTTGGGGTGAGATTGGAATTGGGTGTGGCGCGCTAGGGAAGGAGTGGGAGTGGGAGTGGGAGGGGGAGGGAAGGGGGATGGGAGTGAGAGTGGGAGGGGGGTGGAAGGAGAGTGGGAGTGGGAAGGGGAAGGGGAATAGTGAGAGTGGAAGGAGAGTGGAAGGGGAGTGGCATGGAGAGGGAAGGGGAGGGAAGGAGAGGGAAGGAGAGGGAAGGAGAGGGAAGGAGAGGGCATGGGCTGACCACAATGTTCTGGCGGGTGGCTACATACAGTGGAATACTTACTGGAGGGGAATATAGGTGGGTCTGTGAGAGTTTACCGTGGACTCACGACCACGATTAGCTGTCCCTTCCTACCTACCATAACCACGTATCATGGCCCATCAACACCCCTCCCCCTCCCCCTCCCCCTCCCCCTCTCCTCCAATCACACACACACACACACACTCTCCCCACAATGACCCCCAAAACCACCATCCACGGCGTCCTCGTCCACCGCACCCCCACGCCCACCCACCCCAAATACCACTTCCACCCACACCCCATCCCCGCCGCCTCCCTCCACCCGGGCACCTTCTCCCCGCCCATCCCCTTCCTCACCGCCATGCTCCCCGCCGCCTGCGGCCTGCACATCCTCTACACGCAGCCCCCCACCCCCGCCACCCCCACAAGCACGCACATCCCGCTCGACTTCCGCTCCTTCTTCTTCGGCTACTGGTCGCTCAACCTGCGGCAGCACCCCGCGCTCACCTCGCGCATGGTGTTCTTCCGGCAGGACCTGCGCCCGCTGGAGCCGCGCCAGTGCGCGGTGCTCTGGGCGTTCTGTGAGTGCGTGGTGCGGAGCATCTACGCGGACGTGCTGGAGCTGTTTCCGTGGGGCGGGGCGTTTGGGTGCGGTGATGGAGGAGGGGGGGCGGCGGCGATGGAGGAGGTTGTGGTGGCGGGGATGCACAGGCTGTGGGTGCAGAGGGCGGGCGTGGATTGTTTGTATGCGTGGGGGAGGTGGCATCGGAATGAGAAGCTGCTGAGGGGGCGGGAGGAGTGGAGGGGCGTGGTGATGTTGTATGATGATGGTGAGAGGTATGGGGGGGCGTGTTCTGGCAAGAGGTGGTGTACGGCGGGGTGAGAGGTGCTAGACGGGTGATTGTGTATGATGGGCTGTGATGCTGACTGATTCGCCCAAGAGGAGCTGAATCGATACATATGGCTAAACAGCCGAAGGGCTGCATGACAAGAGGTACGAGTTAGCGGAGGAAGAAGACTGGCTGGCTGGGGACGGACGGGCCTAATTGAGTTGATATAAGTTGATTGTTTATTAACAAACGCTGCACTGCGGTATATATTGAGGAGGAGGAGGAGGAGGAGGTCTGTTATTAATCACTTACCGGCGGCATGCAACTGTACTAATATCTATTTGTGTCTGTATTCATCCTGTATCACTCGCGCAACCATCGATATCTCACAATACGATGATCATCACTCTTCACAAGCATAAATACCGTCCCCGGTTTCTGTTTCATCACTACTCTAAATTCAGACGGTATGGAAATGCTTTATAGCCAATAAACATTCCCAGATGATTTATGATGATTAGTTTACCCCTAACCCTACAAGGTGTTCAAACGCACGCAGTACGGTACTCCTTAATCAGACAGACACAACCATACAAAAAGAGGACGAACAGGAAGAAGAAGAAGATAGAGAAATGAAGAACGATAAACAGAAGAAAAAGAATAATAATAAGAAGACAGAGGTTATATTCCACATAGACCCATACCCAGAGTACTCGTACCAACCTCTCATCGATATCATACACATACAGATTACCCCCATGCCCAGCCAGTCCAGTCCCAACTAGTTAGTCCCAATAACTCCACAACCCAAACCCCCACAACCACAACGCCCCCCACAACCCACAACCACAACATCTACCCCCCCCTCATCACCGCCTCCGCCGGCATCCCCCCCTCCATCTCCCGACTCCCCACCATGTCCAACTTATGCTCCTCCGCGACCTCCTCGAGGCTCTTCCCCTGCGGTATCTCGCCGTCCAGCGACTCGTCGTCCAGCAGGTCTGGGTTGAGCCGCAGCGCGCCGCGCGGGATCAGCGTTGCGAGGAAGAGGATGGTGGCCAGGACGGTGAACTGCACGCCGCCGATGTTGAAGAGGGCTACGTGCGCGTCGCCGCTGGACTTGATGGTGCTGTCGATGTAGCGGCCGAGGGTGGAGGAGAGGATGGCGAAGAGGATGATGTAGGTGGAGTAGAGGAAGGCCTAGTGCGGTGTGTTAGTATCATGCGAGAGTTGGGGAGAGGGAGGTAAATACCATGACCGCACCAAGCGCAGACACATTCCTCGACTCACTCTCCCTGCGTGCCAAACACGCCTGAATATACGCCGCCAGCGACACATCGCCCGCCGCCCATCCAAACGAGATGGGCATAAACACGGCCGCGAGGGTCCACGCATAGTTGACGTTATTCGCGGGCGGGTAGTAGTGCGGGACGGCCCAGACGATCAGGAGCAGCAGCGAGTCTGCACGCAGCCACGGGATGGGCGTGGGCACAAAGTCGTTGAGGAAGAAGACGCCGAGCGCGCCGAGGAGCTCGCCAAAGTTGGACCCGCCGACGAGGATCTGCGAGTAGGCCGAGACCTTGAAGACTTGTTTTGCGACGAGCGGGGCGATGCCGGACTCGAGGTAGCGGTGGCCGTAGAGCGCTACGGAGTAGCTGTGTGGTGGTGGGGGGTGTCAGTGGTAATGATCCATATCGCAACTTTTTGTGTCACAGGGGCAGCAGAGGGGAGGGAAAGACAAACCCAAGCGGCAACCACATAAACTTCCTCTCAGAGAAGATAATGACCGCACCACGGTACACCGACTCGCCAAAATACTTTGCGCCGTGCCAGACCTGCATGAAGTAGTTGCTCTTCTCGTGCTCAATATCAACCTTAAACTCAAGGACCGAAATGAAACTCCAGACAATGCAAGCGCACGTGAAGAAGATGGGCGTGACAATGAACGAGTAGTTGTTGCCCAGGCGGAGCACGAGGTAGGTGGTTGCGAAGGCGCCGCCGGTGCCGGCGACCTCGTAGAAGATGTGCACGGTGGCATCCATGCGACGGAGCTTGTTGACGTTGCCGCCGACGATGTCGCGGGGGATGACACGCCGGATGAGCTCGACCATGCCGTAGGCTATACCGGAGGCCTGCAGGGGGGAAGTTCTGTTAGAGGTCATGGAAGGGGGAGTGTGGGGGGAGGGAGGGAGGGGGAGGGACATACACAGTAGACCGGGAAGAGGGCGTTCGGGTTCCAGTCACCATAGTGGGCCTTATTCTCCCCACTCTTCTTCATCCTCCCACCCGTCGACGCATCCACAACCAACAACACCGCTGCCAACAGTCCAAAGAACATGACCGCCGCAGCGAGCACCGAGCGGGTCGGGAAGCGCTTGATCAACGGCGCAATCAGGATCGAGCCCACACACTAGTGTCACCCACTATCAGTTTCTACATACTTCCCCCCGAGAACCAGCTAGCTAACGATATATAATAGGAAAGAAGAAAGAAGAAGTTGGGCATATATGAATATGATAATATACACACCTGAAACGCCTGGTTGAGACCCTGCAGGATCCCGAGCTTCTTGTACGTGGACCCGCTGCCGAAGCGGTCGGTGGCCAGCGTGACGATGGACCCGTTGAAGGCCTCGAGCCCCAGCTTGTAGAACATGATGCCGATGATGTAGATTGCGATGTTGCGGCGCTCGGTGGGCGAGTAGGCGTGGTAGATCTCACGCACATGGCTGAGGAGCCCCATCGTGAACTGACTGCTCAGTGACTGACTGACTATCTGACTATGGGTGTTTGAGAGCCGACTTTTGTTTGGTTGGAGTAGCTATAAGCTACTATACTAGGTAGAAGTAGCTGTTGATGGGTTGGTTGTGGGATCGGATTGCAATTGGGGGGTGCTGGTGGACGACGTCCTCGGGACTATATATGAATCCTGTGCCTGAGTGGTGGTACTGCGCGGAGTATGTGTAGAACAGCAACTACCGTCCTGGTGCACACTGCAATGCCTCTTGTGCTCGAGATCCGTCCTGAAGACAAAAAGCTATGAGTTACCAGACAGATAGCAGTAACAATTAGTCCTTCTGGATGAAATGCCCAGACTTCAGTGTATGCAAGACGGTGCGACGTTCTTGATCGATCTCCTGTAGACAAGACAGGAGTGCAGACAGCAGAGAGCAGACAGCAGACGTAATATAATTGGAGTATTGGCAGCCGTAGTCGCAGTCGTAGTAGTTGATAACCGTAAACCTCCTGCTGCTGCTAGCTGCTAGCTACATGTACTGTTCCCAAAACCAAAGACCAGCATCGATCTGCCCCGGTCTCTATATACACATCTCACCTCAATTGGGTCTCTCTCCCAAATAAGCATAAAAAAAAAGAAGACAAGCTCACACACTAGCCACTCGCCATTCGCTCACTCTCCTCCATAGCTGAGTCCAAACCAAACCAAACCAAAAACTAAAACCATACTAGTACAGTTAGTTCCCTTCTCTCCCCCCATCCTCATCCCTCATCCCCGTCTCCCCGTACGTTCCCCCCATGAAATATCGACACCCCCCCCCCCATGCATACAGTACCGACAGTACCGTACCAACAACCAAAAAAAAACCCTCTTTTCTTTTCAATAAAATCAAAAAAAACCGTCAAATGCACGTGTGCCAGTCCCATCCCTCTCTTTGGCTCCCCCATACCCCCCGGCCCACGTGCAAGCAGGTCGCGGTTCTATTGGCGCCTCCCGCTTGGCTGGGGTGTAGTTGCACGTGGGGGGAGGGGGGGGGGTTATACTACGGACTGGGGGGGGAGGATTGGGATTGGGCCAATGGGGCGGTGCGTGAATGAGTGTAGCAGTCAGTCAGTGGTGGCCCTGGGTGATTTGCAATTATTAAGGTGGTACCGTGGTACTGCGTGGGGTGGAATGAAGAGAAGAGAAGAGATGATTGCGGGATTCGATTGTATTGTGTCTCAGCTACTAAACTACCTACTCTATTTAGAGTCTATACAGTGCCTTTACTGTGTTTACCGCAAGGGGGTGGAAACAGTGCAGTCTGGTCGTAATGCTTAATGCGGCGGGGAGTACAGAATGCTAGACCGATATTCTCATCTTCTTACCTATCTACATACATACAAAAACAACACCGCCGCTGCTGTATCGAGCAATTGAGAGGCAGGGATAACTCTAACGCATTCAGAAGATTTTTGGTACTTCATGTAGGTACGTTTAAAAACAAGTCCTGCATGAAAATGAAACCATAAAGCAATTATTTGCCGATGTCCCGTATGTATTCACATCTCAATTGATGGCAGAAATATCCTTACCCCTCCCTGTGGACCGTCCCCCCATTCTTCCTAGTAGATTTTCACAGGGGGGTAGGTACCTTTTTTTTTTTTTTTTTTTTCATGCCTTATTTCTTTCTTTTCTTTCGTTTCGCTTGATCTTCTCTGGAATATTGGTTCCAAGGTACTGGATAGAAGCAGGAATAGAATACATAGAATAGGAATCTCGAAATGTCACGATGGATGGTGTGCATAACTATCCGTCTCCCCAAGAAGCCTAATTAGCTAAGTAAAAGGGCCCAAAGACAAGCAATCGACAAGCCTCGTAACGACAATCTACTAAAAACATCCCGATTCGCTTCCCCCGCGCCAACCCGAACGAGCTTAGCCACATACCATTCCCCATCCCGAAATCCTCCACTCCCTACCCCCCCCAAAAAAAAAAAAAAAATTACACTCAAGAAAAAGCTTCTCTTTACCACCACCGCCAGCACAAGCGTTCATGGCTTGGTCCCCTCTTTGGACTCATGGCTGTGACGGCGAGACCTCCGTGCGTGCGGCGGCGGCGGCGGTTCTACCGCAAATACTACTGTAGGAACAGTTGTACTCGTATTTCCCTGACGTTTGTGGACGCGACTGATATTGCATGCCATACAAAAATACGCCAAGCTCATGATTTTGGGTGTATGCAATAATGTCCCAGTTCAAAAACGTCAGTGAAATACGAGTAGTTGTGATGTCCATATCTCAAATTCTCCACGACCACTAGCCAGCCCATCGTGAAGAAAGGGTTGGTTGGGAATTTACCCAACTCTGTGGCACGTGCGGGTTGTGTAACGAGACACACAACCCCCATTGATCAACTTAGGCACTCCACAGGGAACTATGTACAGCAGAGTATGGTACATGGTGGAAAATCACTCTGGCGAGGTGGTACTTTCGCTTATCGAACTGCCAGCGCGGGAAGGTGTCAGTTGTGTTGTGCGAGGAAAAGGAATGAGTTGTGGTATTGTCCCTACTGGGGTACTGGGGGGGCATGGGGTTTTGACAGCTTGGCTAGATTACTACAGTAGCAGCTCGTAGTTACTGCCTGGTACTTTCCTTCAGTCAGGCTAGATACGTACATGTACCTAGGCTAGTTACTCTAGCACTTCAAAGTCGAGATAGTATCTCTTGCGCGCCCAAACTTCACTTTGTGAACTGTAGTACCAACGGCTGTAGCTAGAGCTCATAATCCAGAATCTGACAGCACCCCTTAATTATCCCTACCTCAGTGCGTTCCATATATACGTATCATATCGCCTCCTACTTAAGCTTATGCACCGAACAATTATAGAACATTCTGCTTCCTGCCGAATCGCAAAGTTTCCAGCCAATAGCATCGCTGCCTTTGAGACCGTGCCATCGTGTATAGGTGGGTGGAAAAGTGTCGTACGTCGATTGAGCCTCAAGATTTGCATTTCGTTTTAGCAATTGATAGAGTCACGACGTTTCCAAGGCGAGCGAGAAGTGGCATTCCTGCTTTCTATCCCTACTCTGATCCATGAGGCCATCATCATCTGCCCCATAGCGTCGGGCCCCCATCCGACAGTAATGCATTGATTATGGACGATTGTCGTTAGTCGTAGGAACGGCCTCCGTCGTCCCAGGTAAAGGAAAATGGGTATGTGGCTGTTTCCCTAGCTTTCCACGTGGGTTCATCTGCACTCCATTTAGGTTTCTTTTGATTCGTACATCCTTGAACGTGCACCTCTGTAGATCGAGGCGTATATTATCGTTGTGTTTGTGGTCAAAGAGAGTGTACCTATGATATCTAGCTATTCTATAGAGAAGTAAGGCTCAGTAATAATCACTCAGCTTGTGCTCCGTAGTCATGGTTGATCAAAGGTACAGATATACATACGTGGTCATCTTCACGCCATCCATTGACACAGCCCGCCTATCTGTATACCCGTTGGCTAAAGCAACTGTTACTTCGCACCCGAGGGAGTCGGCCTCGAGCACAGTTTTGCCTGATTTCAAAAAGTGCAAATCCTTGGTGAACACTATCGATCAGAGATCTTCAAACCTAGGATAACAGCAGTACCTAGGCTTAAGCCAATTCGTCATTTTCCCTCCGCTAGTTGTAACGGCAGCCTTGCATCTAGGGAGGTATGTAATTAATTGTTGTATCGATCTCCAAGGCATTTGGACAGAAGCAGGTTGACTTACGAGGACATATCCAAAGCAATGCAGCAGCGCCCCTAGGAGAATAATTAACTATAGTTACACATTGTAGCTTGTAATCCGACTCTCCACAGGCATTACAAAACGTCATGATTCAATATATGTGCAATATTTCCTTTTTGATGTTTCTTGGAGGCTTAGAGAGCCGATTATAGCCGATTTCGTTTGCCTTGGGGTGTTTTAGATGTGTTCCCGCATGTAGATCTTCTTGAGCTTTATACGTATATACCACATACGCACTATCTCCGCACGAGGGCGGTAGTTGGTGATGATAATGAGATGGATGCGCAGGAGCGGATAGATGCGCAGGACTGGATGGAGGAGGTACGTACGGTTAATCTTCGAGTGGATTCCATCCTCTGCTACGTCGACTCATACTGAAGAGAAGTAATCCTAGCTATGGTGCAAGAGGGAGTAGAGGGCGACCCCGTCAACCCTGTACACACCACTTCAGTCAATTCCTTCGTTGGCTACGGGAAGCAAGCGTTGAGGAGCCTCACCTCTAACTCGACTCTATGGCTGTAAGGCTACAATACTGAACTGGTGTGAACAGGGATGACAAGGTCGCCCCCCCAAGACCTCTCGCACCATAGATCTTCCTTCTCCTAAGGTTACGTTGCCTTGAACAACCTTGCATCAATAGGTATATCATGGTCTCTGAGATAGCTCAGTGTCTTGACATGATTAGGGATTGATTTACCGGTCCCTGGAGCAATAACTTATTATTTGCGTATTCTTCCGTCTACCCTATATTATCAGAGATGCTGCACACGAGATCGGGAAATGTGGTAGAGCTTAAATTAAGCTCTCTATCTTATCTATCCAGGATTGCTCCCAGATGTGGTTTAGATGAGTTATGATTGGAAACCGGTACCCTTTATGTCCAGGGTCGATAGTACAGTAACTGTTGGAAGAAACTGAGAAGGATAGTTGATCCCAGGAACCCGACGCGTGATGGCTAGATCTATCGATAAGAACGTCTTCTATGGTAAGGTACTCGTCCAGTTGATGTAGCTCTTGTGGTGGGGATGGGAGATGTGTGTGGTTATCCTAAATGGAGTTGCTTATGTGGCGCCATGACACCAAGCTCAAATTAAAGACAAAGTATGGATTAGAAATATGTGCCTTCTCGCCTCCGCAGTGCTTTGTAGCATGTTAGCACAACCTATTCTAGATACAACGCTTGAATACGAGTGATACTGTGTGAGAACCCCCGGAAGAATTCGTTCAAGCCCTCCCCTCTTTAATTTGCCCTGGTTCACTGGAGTTCGGAGAGAAATTCCGGCAGAATTGGTTTCTGAGCTACCTACAGCTTTTTCGGAGTCTCCGAGACCATGAATCTTCAAATCAGTCGGATACTCCTCCGCTGTTTCGGGGTCTCTCCGAACTCGAATCGTTGATGAATCTATAATTTTACAGAAGAAATTTTTACGCCATGTATGGATAGAAACAAACGTTGGTGGAGGTTAGTCTCATATTGCCCAGACTTACACGTGCATTGTAGTTTAGGGGAGAGGATCGGAGGAGAGAAAGAAAGGTTTGAGATGGGCCCAACTAGCCAAGCCAAGAGGGAGACGGGAAGCCACAGGACTCGAAAATGGCAGCGTGCATTTATCTCGGGAGACTAGATATCGCATACGCTTGGCCATTGCCGGTATGTACCGCAAGGACGCAGAAGCTTTCTGTGAATCGCTTCTGGGCGCGCGGGGGGTTATCGTGACTTTTCTTGCTGGTGAAGTGGTTCCTTCTTGGCAATAGTAATTGACAGTCGCACCTAACTATGTGAATTTCTATATGCCGGATCTTTGCTTCTTTCGTACGGGCTTTTCGAGCTGTATCTTCGATCCTAGGATCGTTTCCTCATTCAAATCCATTGATGCTTGCTGTCTTGTAAGGGTGGGCGCCCAGAATACACTTAAACCATAATGAGATACGACTGCATAACCCCAATTCTGAACATATACAAGGAATCTGTCTACCTTGTTAATAGACAAAGCTGTGGTACCGGTCATCACATTCGCGGTGTGAGAATCACCAGATATCACTCGGTTTAGACCTCAGATATCTCGAGCACAATCACTCAGAATTCATTCTCTTTACATCTCTAACTGGAATGAGTGCTCCATAAAGTGTTAATACTTTCTTTTAGTAATTCTTATAATGGATACGTATACCCTTAAGCATTTCTCAGGGGATAGCGTAGTAAAGTATTACATCCTGTCTCCTGAGTTTTCGCGTTCAGCTGAGCGCTTAACAATCTCGATCTGCCGAGGCGAGCTTTCAATCTCATAAACTGTATACCACCTCAAATGTAGCTTTATAAATCATCTAGTAGGTACGGACCCAGCTAAGTTAAAATAAGCAATTAACTGTACGTTTAAACTGCTAAATATCGCGTTAAACAGACATCGGCCAAGTGGGCAGACTGCTTTCTGAGCTTCTTTCTGCTGGGTTAGATCACAGAGCTGATCATGGTACGTAATATCGCACTTATATAAATGACTCTTTGATAAAAATGACGTGGAATTCCAGAGCGGCCGATCCCAGAAACTTCGGCTGGGCTGATAAAGTTCTTTTACACTCAAGGAAAGATGTTTCAAAACTGCGGGATCATACTAATGATCACCGGTAACCGAGAACCAATTTCCTTCATATTTCAGCCAAACCTATGGCTATGATCAAATGAATGTATATCTCTACTTGATCAACCAACCGGTAGCTCTTCACTCTCGAGAACCATCGATGAGAAGCTCAGGCCAATCATAAATCTAGCTACTGGCATGTGGTTGTTTAATAGGCGGGCAAAGGGTTAGAAACAGAACTCGCAAATGTGGGCCTTTCACACTTTGCACATAACTCAATCAACATCGTACTTATCAAGCTCCCCAAATATCAAACTCTCGTAACCATGTCGACTATGGAGTAAATGAAATTGCCATTTCTTTATGCATATGGCGTTGATATTTTATGTAGCGAGCTGTCCGCGCGTAGCTCTTTTTCGAAAAAGGTGTGTGTGTATGTTAGATCCATGGAAGTTGGTCGGGCCCCTTCACCACTTCTTACACCATACTTATTACGCGTAGCGGACGGTTGAAATCTTGGGGTCAAATTTGACTGAGATAGAGGTGGCGTCCAATACAGAACGCTTTCAATACTGAAATTCAGAGGGGTAACTGACCTATGTACAAGATTTGTGGACGTGGCCACGTGGAGCCGCTACACAAAACGGAGGTGCCCCCGAGATCCTTTGATATATGTAGCTCTCCAATCAAGCGTCGAACGTTGGAGAGAATTATGTAGCCCTAGCATAGGAATTTGCCGTAGACTATCGTCACTCGCATAGAGAAAATAATCCAAATTGATCATGAAGAATCACTCGGTTTCGGTTTTGCGTTGCATTGTTTTTCCATGTCAAGCAAGAATTCTAGTAGGTCATGACCGTTTGAAAACACATCGTTTCGGGTCCATGGCATAGACTGTTCACTATTCGGTCAGAGAACCATAGTATGGTACGATTAAAGACAGATCTCTTGACGTAGTTAGTTGTCATGGTCATAGTCGAGTGCGCATCTTACCACGGATTGTAGTGTTGAGCTACATGTACTGGATTTTCAGTTGTGGAGATCCATTCGATGTCCCATGGCCATTCAATTAGAATACACGTACTCGCTCTGAGGTATGGTTAGTTATAATTGAGGACCAGGCCATTTGGTTCAAAAACTTACATGTAAAGAAACCCTAACCCACAGTTACTGTCCCAAAGGTAGCTTCGAATTTATCGGAAATAGTGCCTGCCAAGACAAGAATAGTTTTGGCCGCTAAAAGATCCGGATATCTCTAAGCCAATATTTTCTGTTTTGACACATTGCTAAGAAAAGAGTTGAAATCCTAGAGTAGGTGAAAGCACTCGAAACACTGCGGCAAGAGGGCCTTGTTCATGCTGTGCTGATAGGAGGGTAATTGAGGGAGTTTATTGAGTATGATAAGACTTCTAGTATTATCATGACACGAGGTTTTCTCCGGGAAATTGAACTTAGATTCCAAGTCATGCTGCAATCTCCACACATGAGATAAATCATGTCTATCGTAAAAAGATTCAAGTGCCTAATAAGCTTGAAACTTTCGGGCGTTGATCCTTCGACGGTTAACTTTCGACCAATCAAAAACTACTTAAGTAATTATGTAAAGAATCGATCAGAAGCCAGCGCAGCTTGAAACTTACGATCGCGATGAAGAACGGGAATGGAACTCGAAATCTACTCAAAATCCGCGATGTTGCAGTCTAAAGTACAATGACCTCATTCATAGAGCTTAAAACTCGGCCAATTTCATTGTAATATCCTCCAAAGCGGTTTGAGTTGAGAATATCGTGTTCGCGTTACAACGTTAAGGTGTTTTTGAGCAACCTTAACCTTCTGGATCCAGAGATGTACAAGTATGTACCTACATGTAAGTACTTGTATGCATAGCGTCAGATGTAGCGTATCCACTAGCTCGGGATTAAAAACATGCAGTGGTACGTACATCGAGTACTTAAGCACCTCGGGATCTCACATGGAACGTGAAAGCTTAATTACATGTAAGTCTACATGTAGGTACTCGCGACCAGCAACAAGAACCCGAATATGCAGCTGCAAGTCTTTGGTGTATTTTTGACTTCTACTCCAATGGAAGTTGCAGGTTAGGACGTGCATTTTCGGGTTCTTGTTGCTGGTCGCGAGTATATACTTACCTCTCCTTGTGAATTATTCCCCCTGCCCTCGGGCTCACGCTCTTCAACAGATTCTCCTCATCAATCCATCACCAGAAACGCACTACTACTATCAACAGATCACAGTCTCTGTCTTTTCAGCCCCTTCACATATATATTGTATGTACACCCTCTCAAGGTCATTTCGATGAGCTAAAATTTTCAAGATTGAGGACAACCCAGAGATCGAGATAAATCATGATCAAGGAAGACAAACTTTAACGTTAAGTGACTCTTGGCTATTCATACCTACATAATCTACTTCTATTTCTTCCCTGGTGGTATCAGTTACTTTAGTAACACAGAAACAATGAGTATATCGAGTCAACCTCACAATGGTATGCTCTTTTATTACCTTTCTTGACTTATCGGTTAACAAACCCTAACCCATAGTGGCGCCATATTGAAAGTGGCATGTGTGTACCCAAGGCCCACAGTTCCGGAAGCCACCTCACCCCAAGATATGTACTCAAGACATGTACCATAGCTCGAATGTTGTTCAGATATCTTTTCAGGCGCAGCTACTGAGGCAGGATCGTACTTGTCGTACTTGTATGCATCAACTAATGTCAAACCGTATTGTGATGCGCTGTTTGCCAAATAGCGTTGGGCGCCTGAAAACGGGCTCTTATTGGCGCTGCGAGCTCAAGTGGAGGTAGGTTGCACACCTTGCAAGGGTATCTACAGTATGTAATCGAGGCTGAACAACCTCTCCAGTTCTAAAGATTTCTCCACCCTACGTTCCAACGAGCACAACTACACACGCCTGTTCACCACGTCCATACTACCATGAGATTGTAACCCCCCACTAACCAAGAGAAACAAGAAACATAAGAAACAGACAATCCTTAGCGCTATCGGAATAGCAACAACCTCAGATATACCACCATGAGTACATCCGTCATGGAGAAGGAGCTGACGTGTTCCGTAAGTCATGAAGCTTCTCCCCCGCTCTCACGTTTCTCTACCTAAATGCACATTCTAACTTGCTCTCGAGATTTGTACCGACCTCCTATACGACCCAGTAACATTCCTTGACTGCTTGCACACGAACTGCGGTTCCTGCGCCAAAGCATGGTTCCAGTCATTAAGTAATAACGCTGCCAATGCTCCAGTAGCATCATCCAGCGCCGCTCCAAACGTCGCGAAATATACCTGCCCAGTGTGCCGGGCCACTGTACGGGCTACAAAGCACAACCCTACACTCCAATCCCTTGTAGAGGACTTTGTCGCAAGGAACCCAGACAAGGACCGCACAAAGGAAGAAAAGGAAGCAGTGCGGAAGATCTACACTCCTGGAAGTGGGGTTCTTCCTGGCGAAACCTCAAGACAATTCTCAAGTTCAAGTTTTGTTCCCCCTTCAGCTCCTACCGTTGCGCTTCCACCCCGCCGCCAAGCCTCCACGAATGCAAACCCTTGGGGTACACCGCCCCCTCGTCCCCAGAATTCCCGCATTCAACCTCCTCATCCCCCTCAGGCCAGAGAGTCAAGGCGGGGATCGCTCCCGGGATCATCGCCCCCGCCGTTTCTTAGTGCGCTGTTCAACACCACGGAGCAATCATGCGCCCATTGCCAGAAACGGATCGACTTTGCTACACGCTGCTGCTGCGCGCAATGCAATATATTAACCTGTTGCGCTTGCGCCAGAGAAGGACACTGCTGTCGGGAACCGAATTCGAACCACTATCTCATCGTGCACAGGCTTCGATTGAACCCTCGGCACATCCAGACCGGCTGGTTCTGCGACGTCTGCGAGACCTGGTGCGATAATAGTGGCAATGAAACAAACGCCTACTTCTGGGCGTGTGAGATCTGTGATAACGGGAGTTGGGTGGTTTGTAGGACATGCGTATCCAAAGGCAATGCCTGCACCCACGAGCTAAAACTATACTCCAATCAGCGCCCCCCAACTAGAGGGCCCATCAGAGGTTCCATGGGGCAAAATTACTGGAGTATATACACAGACCTCGTTAGGAATTCGGGAACTACAAATATAAGCCTCAATACGCGACTCAACGCCTTTGGCTACATTCGCGCCATGTCATTGCAGATACAATGTGATAACTGCGTGGAGGCGATCCCGCCCGACCATTCTTACCTCCACTGCACCGAATGCTTGGACGGCCATTGGGATATGTGTATGAACTGCTGGTACACAATGACCGAACAACTTGGCGGCAATGACGAAGAATCTAGCTTTCCATGTCGTGCCGGGCACCAAATGGCCCTACTCACACAGAACGGGGAATATGGCACCCATAGAACAATTCAAGATATCCGCCATGACCCGCCCGACTATGTTTCGCGGAGCCCTTTAAGTGATAACGGGTGGCCAAGAATGCTGGGCCCAAAAACAGCGGTAGCGATAAAGGGGCACTGGCCCGAGCCTCAAGAGAGTAATGTAGGTACAGTCTGGAGACCGGACGCGCCCGGCGAGAGGCCGAGAGACTATGGCGGACTTTTGGTGTTTCCAGAGAAGGCAGAAATCACGGATATATGGGTTGCTTTCACGGAGGGCGATGGGTTGGATAGAGTGGAGTACTTGTGGGGATGGTATTCGGGGATTGGGGGATTGTTCCCGAGGGAATGCGTGGAATTTACAGATTGATTCATATGTGTAAGTAATGTGGCTGCTGCATCGTGATTTCAATCGTTTGTTTTAGTGGAGAGGAAATAGTCGTTTTGGGTATTCAATTGGGGTTTAGGTTATGGTTATCGGAGTTACGTATTCGTGGTGAAGTTCTTGTTGCAGGGCTTTTCTTGAATTCACTTTATACATATATTTGTATCTTCATTTTTCTTTTTTTTGAACGATATCTGATACGATGTAGCAACTGCTTCTTATTTGCGTATAAGAGTATGTATATGCTCCAAACTTTAGTCCAGGCCAGTGATGAAAGAAGTATCATCTGGCCCGGTTCGGTCCAGGGGATGCCAGGTAATGCAGCGGTACTTTAACAATGATGATCCCTCGATCGAGCGATTCCAAAAGCTGGTAGTGTGTCATGAGGGGGAGAGGGGGACGATTTATATATAGTACTTTAGGGGCTGAAAGATAAAAGGGTCCATTCCACACATACGCAAAATGAGACTTCTCAAGAGCTTCCTTCACAACTGACCGGGAGGAAAGGGCATTTTGTCATCCCCACAAATAAGAGTAAGCAGAGTGAATCAGCAAGCAACCAGTAATCAGGACCCACCAGGGCTAGGTTTAGTATTTCTACACTTACAAACATGTAGTAAGCCGCACAGAACGGCAATGATTGGAGTATTTTTCGAGTAAGGTACCCACCTGATCGAAAGTGTAGATGGTCTCAACTAATCTTTGTGTTCTCGCGGCAAAAACCATTATTCCTCACGACGTCACATATTCTTTTCGATCTAGTGCGGGTATATCCAGAGAGCTAGCTAGCTAGTCTTTTTTCTATAAACAGAATTAAATACGGGTGGGCGTTGGGGGTATGTATATATAATTCCCTCAGTGTTTATCATACCCCCTCTAGAATATATTAGTTGATCCAGGCTAGCTTTCGGAGGTTTTAATCTGGTGATCATGCGCAGTACTGTGCTACACTGCTCGAGATTGAAGGCAGAAATTCAAGGGGACGTACGTAACAAAGATTTTCCTTTACCGAACCTCTTTGGTTCTCCAAGGAATGGAAAAATCTAACCACATACACGTATTATCGTCCCACAGCTGAATTAAATCGATAACAAGTGCCATTGAATAAGTAAGCCCAATCTGAGATTCAATAGGGTTAGGGTTGGTTCCCCTAATTCATTTAGCGAAAACCGCGATCCACGATAAGTACTCTCGCAAGAAGAAGATAAATTTAAGAGTAATCAAAAACTACTCTCATGATACAAGCAGCACCACGTGTTGTGGGCGCTGTTGGTGTTGATAAAAATGTGTTCTATTTTAAGTCACCATGGCCAGCTAGTACAGCACAAATAAGATGTAACGTTACACTAACCACTACCACCAGCACCAACATTCCGGGCTGAGACTTGTCTCCACCCCGCAATACAGGGATCGTGACTCTGTTCAGTGTTAAGCTTTCTATTTCCGTTCCCGTTATGGGTAGCCGGCAAGGTGCAACCATGGCCCAACAGGACCAGAGGATTAGAAAAAAGCTTAGCTAGGTGACATAGAGATCACGGATAGCGATTGGAGAATTGATCCGGCCGGGTGAGATTGGGTCGAGCGAGGGAGCCTTTTGTGATCACATCGAAAGGTTTTCATGGAACCATCGACCGGGTTTTCGGCATCCATATCGATGTCTTTTCTTTCTTTCTTTCTTTCTTTCTTTTCTGGGCATTGTGGAGGTTTTGATTGTTATAATTAGGAACTTATTGATAAAGTTTTACGTTTTGGGACGTATGGCGCTCTCATCTGATCAAGTTGGATCATATATCGTCACTTGTAGGTCCGAGTGTCTTTTTAATTTAGGCTGCAATTGACTCTTCGTGAGCAGAGTTCTAGATCCTCCAGCTGAGAGGCTTCCTTCGAACATTCTTCACTTTTACAGCACTCAATTGCTCCCAAGCCATTGCACCGCGAAGGAAAATTCTCTTCACTTTCCACAGAACGTAAGCTTACGGGCAGTACCTAAATCCTTCAAGATACCAATACATCTCCACACCCAGCTAGTACATACCTAAAAACCACATCCCCAGCATGGCACACTACTAGCAGTACAAAGCCCAAGTGCAAACCAGCCTGTAATCAGTGCAACATCATGTACGTACATACACGTACCACGATCATGCAAAAATGTGAATACAAGCTTACTCCCATGAATATTCCCAACAATCTCGTATTCCACAGTACGTACATATTTTAACCAGCTAGTGAGGAATGAATACGACGTTGGTGCAACTACGGCTGCCGAAGCTCGATCACCCGGCCGGGTTTCCCGGCATGGCTTGGAGGTCAATGATCGTGTGACAATATGTGGATACTGGGAAGAGTCTGCGCAGCTCGTACAACCATTCAGATCATTGCAATTGGATGATATCAACCTTCAATCCTCAATACATGATACTCACCCACAGGCCGTATTGTATATAAACCCCCTCCACCATCCCCAACATATCTTCCCTCCTCACCCTCACCATCACCTTCATCTACAACACTCGCTCCAACTCTCATATATACTCACTAATCTCACTCTCATACCCACTCTCGCTCTTAATACTCCTACCACCACCACAACCACCATAAAAATGTACACCCCCGCCGCCCTCCTCCTCACCACCCTCCTCCCCCTCCTCAGTCTCCTCACCCCCGCAATTGCCACCCCCGTCAACGCAGTCTGCACCCAGTGCGACGTCAACCCGCTCGGCAACGCCGACAAGACATGCGACATCACCACCAGCTGCGTGCGCACAAACTACCAGGGGCAGTACCACTGTGCCTGCCGGTAAGAAACCATCCTACCTCTTTCTATTTTGTTTAAATTAGAGTGCTAATGGCCATTCGGGTGAATAGTGCCGGGTACAAATCGTCGGCCCCCAACAATGATAGCGAGTCGCACTACCGTGTCAACTTCCCCAACGAGGGATTCAGGGTTTTCACCAAGCCGGGTGTGGTCTGTGATACTTTGTGTGATAAGTACTGGCTTGGGCCCGACTCTTGCCAGGAAGTTCTAGTCAGGCAGGCGTGTCTTTAGATCTACATAGATCTAAATATATAGCCACCCCCTTGGCTATGGCTTGCTAGTTCATGATGGGGACGGGACGATCAAGAGATATGAGTATTTATGTCTAGATCTGGATTGGTTAGGTCTTAATGTCGCTCCTTTAATTTCATAATGTCTTGTTGTTACTACGTAGCTACGTATTCAATGCACAATATATTTCTTAACTAGGAATCGTGGTCATTGGTGTACCGAGTGATATTCTGTGATTGACATACGAAAGGATCATGTATCATTGACCAGGTTCATTTTTTGCCTATGCATGAATTGAATAACAAACTAAATAAACTAGACCATAATATATAAAGCATAAACCAAAAACCAAAATGAAAGCCTGCATATATCCTCAAATAAAAAGCTGACGAGTACACCCAAGGAAGCACAAAATACTTGGCACACCAAAGAACATGCTAGTAGAAGAACGGTAACAAAACAGCTCTACCCTCCCACAGGGGCCGCATCAGCGGGAACATCAGCGGGCACTTCAGCGGGGACCTCAGCGGGGACCTCGGCGGGGACCTCAGCGGGAACCTCGGCGGGCACCGTAGGTGGCACCACATCGGGCATGTTGAAACCTCTGTCCGCCAAATGAGACGTATTCACAAACGCCCTATGCGTAGCATTATGTATCCTTCTGTTCTGAATAACACGCTGCGGCACAGGATTCGGCGCCCTCCCATCCTGCATGATATTTGCCAGATCCGGGAGCACCGCCTGTTCCACGTGCTCATCCGCCAGGCCAATTCCCTGGATGTAAATGCCGTTTCTCCACCACTTGCGGAGCCCATCCCAGCTGTCTAGCTCAATATCAGGGTCTGAATTAAGAAGCGATACGATCGCTCTCATCCACGGAGCATGCGGCATCGTCATGTCGGGCAGTAGAAAGACGGGCGGAGGTGTAAGCAGCCGCCCTATTGTGGTTCCGGTGTAGTCTATCTTTTGCCCTGTGAGAATCAGATAGCTGAGCCACTCTGGGAGCCTCCAGTCAGCGAGTTTCGCACGAGCATCTTCCAAGATATTCATGTCTGACGAATGGCCGGATCTGAAAGCGGTGTCTCTTTCAAATCTTTGCATTGGCGATCTTCTGTCACGTGGTCCGATTGGTCCTTTTGGACGCTTGCTAGCATGAGCCCTGGCATTGGCGACTAGGCGCCTCCTTCCGAACCTGCTCGAATTCATAATAGTCCTTTTAAGATAATCTGCAAGCTCTTCCTGATATATGTAGATTTTCAGGAATCTTTCAATCTCTAAGATTAGCATCTCGACAAGATCAGCGATGTCTTTAGCACCACATTCCTGGACCAGTCTCGATGATGGACTTTGAGTGGAAATGTTTTGTGCAAATTCGTGTCCGAGAAGGACCTGAAGACGTTTGAACCAATATGCGTCTTGATAGACAAAGTTGTCAAGTTGAAATTCACGCTTGGCCCGTTCAATAGTTACTGATTCCCATAGTGAATGCCCGACTACCGTGTAGTAGTCATAAACAGCGCTGTCAATTCCAAGAACCAACCTTCGAGCTGCGTCAAGCTCCTCAAACTTAGATATCTCTCTCACTAGCATGAAGATCAGAATCTCGGCAGAGACGAGGTCCACATAATTATGTAGCCGGGCGAGTCTCTCCCTTGCTCTTCGAGAAGCTGATAAGTGACTAGCAGCTCCTATTCTATCGAGCCCTGCAGGCAGCTCTGGGTCTGGTACTTCAGCTTGGACAATGGCTAAAAGGTCTTGCCGAATTCCTGCTTCACTCTCCTTTGATGATATGGCTGGGTGATTTTCAGTAATCCTTGGAGTTTCTAGAGTTCCCAATCCGCAATGCCATTCAAACAGATCTCTAAATGTCTCAAACCAAGTCACATTACTTAGATTTGAATCCTGCATCAAAGGGGCGGAATGCTCTCGAGGCATTAGCTTGTAACTGACTCGGAAATTCCTCGCAGCCAGGTTCCGGAGCGTGAGGGCTAGTCCAAAGTTACCCTCGACAACAAGCTTTCCAGCACTTATGGTTGGCAAACGTGTAGTAAATGCCTCTTTCTGTATTATGCTTTGTCTCGCCTCGCTTGAGGTTCTCTCTGATCTCAACGATTGGGCGCAGAGGTTTTCCACCATATCTCTAAATTGTCTCGTGTGTGTGTTTATGATCTCTGCCAGTCCCACCAACTCGTGTGTCGATGTCATGATTGCTAGTTCCTCTGGAGCTTCAAAATCCCTGTCTATTGCGTATGTTGTTCTATCATAGGCTCCTTGGATTGTACGGTATGTCCCATTTACGCAATTCAAGTAAGCATCCTCCAATTGAACTCGGGCCGTCAGCAAGCGCTCCATCTCATTTCTCCTATGGTTAATAACCGACTCAACAGTGTTATGATAAGTAGTTTGTGCAGGTTCAAGCCTTCCTTGTGCTGTGGTGAGAGCCTCCGCGCCCGCCGGTGATGGACTAACGTCCATCTCTGCCGTCGTGAACGCAGCAAAGTCTGTAGCTGTTTTAAGCCTTCTCTGCGCCATCATTACATCCGTATCCCACGCCGCTACTTCACGCGCCCTTGCCAGTTCAAGATTTTCCCTTGCCGTATCGAAGGCAGCGTGCGCTTCATTTATTACCCTTCGTATTCGGATTAGGTTTACCTGTATTACGCGATAGATCATGTTAATTTTAACAAAATCCTCATGGAGTATATTTACGTATTCTTCTTACCCGACCAAAAAGATCTGTCCTATCTGTGTCCGCAGCCGTCTGGAGGACCGGCCTTCTCTCTGCGAATTGAGCTCTCTCACCTTGCCTTCTCCTTCTTGTCCCGTCTAAGGCCGACTGTTCATCATCGCATAGAACGTCCAGTTCTTCACGGCGAGTGATTGCTGCGTTTATCTCCGCTAATGCCGCCCTCCTCGCTAACAACTCTGCATTTGACGCTTCCCGAAGCTCTACTACTGCATTAGCAAGGGCTAGCTCCAATATCTGTCTTTCTGGGTCCTCTGTGATCGTGATATCTGGATTTGGGTTATTCCCTGCTGGTATTGCCACCCTATTATGCGCATGCGCTCGTATTGCAGCTTCGTTCAGACGTAACCTCGTGGTTTCCGCAGTACTCGCTCTGTTTATATAGGTTTCCGTTGCATTGTTTAACTCCACGCTCCTACGACCAGGGTTAATATTTGGAAACATGGCTCTTGCATTGCCATCTAGATCAACCGCACATGTATAAGCAGCCCTTGATACTAGTTCTGCTTCACTCGCTCTCTCTAAAGCGCCAACTGCCATTTCTCTTATTGCCGTATCCGCAGTCGCCTTAGCTACTGCTTCTTCCACTGTAGTGGGTAAAGCAGCAACTACCCCCTGCTCTATCAAATCTAGTAAATTGATAACAGTTGCTCTCAGGCCGTAGACCAACTGTGCACACTGTCTAGTTGCTCCCGCAGCCAACCTTGCATTTCTCGTAAGCTCATCCACAACCCTCCCTTTATCTTCGCTCTGTATCTCCTCCGGTACGGTAGGCATATTTGACCTTGATCCTCCCAGAGTATCTATTGCCCTCTCCAGCCTTAACCCAAACTCGTTCCCGATCTCCGCTATGAAGTTCACCTCCGAGGCCTTGTCCACCAGGTCAAACGCACAGAGCTTTGCCCTCCTATTCGCTCTATCCACCTCTGCCAGCGAAACCGCCGTGGCGTCTCTCAGCTTCCTCGCCAGCTTCGCCGGTGTCGTCATCCCGAAGCGTTTCGGCGGAGGTAACCTTGGGTCTGGAACCTCAGGCAAGATGGGGTGCTCCCAGCCAGTCAAGATGAAAGCTGTGGTAATCACATTGCTGAAGGTTAGTTCTTTACTGACCTTACCGTGCGTACTTTGTTTGAGAAACCAGGCGGGGTTAGAGGCGAGTTTCTCCCAGGTAGGGATCGACGGGGCGCCGTAGGCGGTTTCGGGTGAGTCCACATCGAGGCCAAGAGTGAATGAATCTATTTTCTCAAGAGGTGGGAGGATCGTACGATCAACAGGCTTTCTGAAGAGTATGGTGTCGTAGGCGCAAGGTGGGACTTTGAGGGTGTGTTTATAGGCGTAATGACTTAGCCTCTCCGCCATTCTGGTCAAATAATTAGTATCAACACATATAGCAATAGACCCGTCTGGTAAGTACTCACAGGATGGGCGATTCACACGTAAGTAGGTTTCTGAGGATCAAGCCCAGGCCGACCGCTTCACCAACCACATAAGACAGGCATATATCGTCCCTCTCTATATTCCTAGTCTCCCCACCTGTAGTAAAAAGTTTGTCCCTCTCCACCTTGTGTATATTGTACTTCATGTTATATATATTTGTAAACTCCTCCGCCTCCTCTGGCTGTAGACCTTCGGTGTTTGGCTTCTGCGGTTTAAGTTGACCGGTTTCCTTGAACTGGCAGAGGAACGGCTGCCACTTGTGACCCGCCAAGAGCCATCTCACAAGGTCACAGAATCTGAGGTTCGAATGCGCATGTGGTACCGCCCAGGACCTTAACGCGTGCGGGGCATCGTGGCTTATCCCAAGGAACCTGTGCTGGCGGAGGATGGAATCAACTATTGCGGTGATATCGATGATGCCCTTATCGCAAGGACATGTGCGATCCGCATAGTCCAATCCTGGTCCATGGAGCTGGAGAGGACATGGGGGATCGCCCTGACCGCGTCGGAACTCCGTGTCGGTTGGCCTGTTGAAGTGGAGAAAGTTGTCGGGGCCGGTGTCTTTGTAGCTAGGGGTGCGGAGGATGTCGTTGGGGCCGTTTTCACGGAAGGGTTTGCGGAGCGAGGCGAGATATCTTTGGCGCCCAGGCCCTTCTTCTTGATTTGGGCCGCCGTGGCCGCGGAATATGTGCTCGAGTGTTGCGTCGAGAGCTGCGATGCTGCGGGGGAGGTTGTTCCAGATTTTGACCTTGCGTCTGTTGAGGATCAGATCTTGGAATAGTGTTTGGAGCTGTGGGTTTTGTGAAAAGTTAGTGAAAGGTTTTGGAATATGAGTTTATAGCAAGACATACGTTTGGACGGGTGTTCTCTACACAATGCTGCAGCATGTATGCGATATGGAATGTCACCGTGAGGTATCGATCAACTTGTTCCGATTACACCACCATCAGCACAAACAACTCATCCATCAGATAAAGTCGTTAAACATACCTGATACCGTGAGCAAACTAACCAGCTCGCGATCTTTCTCCACATATTCAACATTTACTTCCTCCCGAGCATTACTCCATTTTGGATCATCAACATCCAAAATCCCAACATTTCCCTTTACATACTCGGGTGCGTACTGCCTCATCTCACAGCTAACAGCCACAGCTCTTCTGAACTGCGTATGTGTAGGGTGAAGGCGCTCATCTTCACGGCCCGGGAAGTTGATATCGTAGAATCGTATGTGGTCCAGTGCCGTTTCGACCAGTGATAGTGCTGGCTCTATCTGGCTTGGCTCCGTGACAGAGACCGAGCCAATGATCAAATCGTCGGGATTGGAGAAGTAATCTACCGGAACATTCTGTACGGGCGTCAGTACTCCGCGAAAACATATCAAAACTAGCAATTCATTACCTCGTCTGTATAGCCGTTATGGCAGGTTATCGCCCCTGTTTTCTTGTCCTTAGACCATTTCACTGGCTTAATGAAACCCTCACTTTCTTTGATCTCCCCGACAACCATCGAAGGATATCCTTGCCAGTACGTTTATCAATATCCACCCTTCTCATGGTCACAGCCGCAACATCCCCAGCTTCTCTTCCTTCTTCTTCTAGCGAGAACCTCTGACAAGCCTGAAACGCCACTTCGCGTCGAGCCTCCAACCTCTCGAATTTTGCAGTCTCCTCCTCACATGCCACCGCCTTCGCATGTGCAGATTCGACAGTCCTTTCTTCTATCTCCTGAGCGAATATTCTTCCATACTTGATTCTCCTGCGGGTAATCTGCTGGAGTCTAAGTCTCCGGCCGAGATTTAGCTGCAAGTTCTCGTCGGCTCTGCGGCCAATGAGCCGCCAGAGACGGAACTCGATGTCAAATGCGTCCCGGAAAATTGCCGTGTGGTGATGTATGACGCGGTAGTAGCTTATAGTGAGGAGAACTAAGAGAGAGTTCGTGATGGTAAATGCATAGGGGATGGGGCCGGATACGGTGGCTTTCTGCAGCGCCCATACCTCTAGGAGCGTGAAGAGTAAGTGAAATAACCCAAGCACCCATGTTGCGTATATCCGTCCAGTGGTGATTATTACCCAGTAGATCACGAGGGTTTGGCAGGCGAGTAGCCACGGATATGGGTATATAGGCTTACTCTGCAAATCCATGAAGCCGAGTTATTCTAAGGTTTTTGATATGAAGCTGTGAGGGCAAACAGAATTCAAACGGGATTGAACGCGATATCACTCCTAGCTCCTGTGATCAACGAGATATGACTACCACCCGACTTTAACGACTTGATTGTTTGTGTGTGGGGTAGCGGTCAAAGGCCACCTTGTTTCCCAAGCAGGACAAACATAGTGCTGATCAAGCCTTTGTTCTTCTTTATCCCACACGTCGGCAACCACTCTTAAGGCTTTTTGAGCTTGTGTGAAGTTTCTTTGTTGGCAACGCATAATATATTGTTGTCTTGAGTCAATCAATGAATACATTATACCGACCGGTACCCCCCAAACCAACCGACTAGTCAGCGGTAGATTATTAGTCATACTGAGGGCTGACTGGCTGTTTTTTTTTTTTTTTTTTTTTTTGTTTAATTCATTAATTGGGCTGACTGGCTGTACGTACATAGCAATCGCATGCAAATGTATGCTATGGGCCTAAGCCTGGAAGTGGAGTGTCGGGTTATGAGAAATAAAGATTTAAATCCTTGAGAGTGAAGTTTAATTTGAGTGTGTATATAGTACTTGATCCAATGTCTGATCAGCTAAGCTGCGCTGGTGAACATTCAAATCTCTAGTTTGCGAGTTCGTCCGGGTGCTACTTTTTTATTTGTTTGTTTGTTTATTCATTAATTGCATACAACTCCGGGTGCTACTTTGTAGATAGGATGAATTTCCTAGCTGGCCGCTTTGATTATGTACCGCGTATATATGTACGTAGCCACATCTCTAGGGCCGCGTCTGTAGAGGCTTCCGATTCTCGTATTCATTTTTCTTACTTGAACAAAAAGACGAGACGTTCGTTGCATGTGCATGTGCTCTCATCCACAGGGTTTCTTGGCTGGAAATGATAATTAAACGCCAAGGCTGATTAGAGGTGACTAACCGGGTTAGGCACACTAGCACACCTGTATCAGAATCTGTATTCGATATTCCTATCGTTTATTCAAACATGTTATTGATAGGTGTAGCTTGTTTCTTTGATCGTGAGTGTAAGCCATAGGACATAGAATCATGTATATCCAGAGTGTGCAGATCACAGACTATCACTCGGTCGTCTTCTCAGGTCTTGGCGAACCTGCCAGCGCAATTAAAATCCCAATCAAACAATTATTAAACAGCCAAAGAACTACATGCATATTCTTTCCAATATTTAACTCAATATCCTAGAAACTACATGTATATACCAAATATAAATACACCCAAAACAATCAATTACACAAAACATTCAATTACACCAAATATTCAACGTCTCCTGCAACATCCTCAGGAACTGCGCTTTCTCCACCGACATATCCTCCTCCCCGTCAAAGTCCGACTCCAAATCCGACTCCGAGTCTGACAACCCCTGCGCCTGTTGAACCACCGGCGCAGCCTCGTCATTAATCTCGAAAAAGAGGGACGAAATCCTTACCGCTGGTGGAGGCAAATCCGTATTCCAGTCGCCTCTGAATCCATCCGCGTCCTCTGCGGGGAGCTCCTCAGCAGGCTCCTCCTCTGGCTCAGGGACCTCCTCGTCCTCGTCCGCGTTCGCGTCCCATATAGGTAAATCATCAGTAGCGTCCCAGAGCTGCTCCACGCCCGTACCGTTGCACCAGTCGTCTGCGTCCCCATCATCACCATCACCATCAAATTCCGCATCACCACCATCTACACCCCACCCTCTCTCCTCTTGCAGTACCTCGATGACCTGTGGCACCCCCGCCCCACGCATCGTCACGACGTCGCCCCTCGGCGGCCGCTGCGGTTGTATCCTCCCCGCCCGCTCGTCCCGCAAGCGCTGCAGCGCGCGGTTGTCAGCCCTGAGGACCAAGTAGTGTCGTCCTGGCTGTGAGCGCTCGTAGCGGGTGATTGGTGTTGCTCTCTTGATGACTCTCCGCAGCAGCGGCATGTAGAAGTTGGTCGGGCTGTATGTGATGTCGAAGAAGCGCTCTGCGAGCGTTCTGGACCGATCACGCGTGTGGGGGCGGTTATAGCGGAGGACCATGAGTGCCCAGTGGAGGATGATGGGGTCAGTGGTGGCGAGCTCGGAGCTGGCTGTGGCCCTGGTCGTGCGGGAGAGAAGGGTGCGGAGGGCAGGCATGGTGAAGGGTACGATTCCCAGGAGAGTTGCAGCTACGAGAGTGTCCCTGCTATCCTGCGCTGCCATAGGGCGTAGTCGCTGGACAAAATCCCGCTCACGGGAGGCATTGAGTGCCTGCAGGGTTACAAGGCTTTGCAGTAGTGCTTTGATCTCTGCAGGCCTGTTGGCCCAGTTGTCGCGGTATTCGTTTTCTTCAGCGGGTTTGAGGAAGAGGCCGCCGCCTGTGACGGCATGATCCTGCGCGGTGTCGGTGAGAAGATCTCGGGTTATGGTGAACCAGTTGTGGCCGCCCGCAACAACAGTGCTTATCAGTACATCCCTGGCGGCTGCAATGATCCCCAGATCTGCAGGCGTGAGCCCAACAAGCCCTAGCAGACATTCGTCCAGTTGCTCGCGCATGGTTTGGACCCTTCTAATATCATTTTGATATTCGTGCATGAGCTTCAACTCAAAATAACCAATCACCATCTGCAGTATATCTGATGACATCGTCGCCCAGCTTGGAGAATCAAAGAATCTGAGAATCTCATCCAAGGTGAACTGCCTTTGGGACTGTACGTAACCAGCGTCTATCTCGTCTTGCCAACGATCTGGTTCTGCAACTTCCTCTTCTGCCCGTTCACCACCACCACCATCCCCACCACCGTCCCCACCACCGTCCCCATCACCGTCCCCATCACCGTCTCCATCACCGTCCCCGTCATCTCCGTCATTACCTATGTCATCATCTTGGTCATCTTCCGCAGGTCTACGTCGACGTCTAAAGGGCGTCGCCACAATTTTCGTGACAACATATTCACCAAAGGTCTTTGGATGCCTCCGCCAGAACTCCTCTAGAAAGTAGTAGAGCATTCTCCCCGGTTGCATAAACTCCACCTTTCTACGGTTGCGGTAAACAGAATTTCGCAGCACTTTGTCGTCTATCCAAGAGACCATGTCACATCGTCTAAAGGACGGATTGTCGACATACAGACGCACAGAGTTGATTAATCTGGATGTGGCGTGCCATTTGCAGTCGATGTATAGGGGGATCTCTGGGCTGCTTGGCTCTCGGAGGAAATTGACATTGTGTGCGCCCATCATTGGTTTGTTGCTCCAGAGCCTTAATCTTTCGAGAAGCCTATAGTATAACTAAATGTTAATATATAATATTTATGATCTGTAAACCATTAAGCTGAGGGTTCTCTTACAGTCGTGGATTTTCTGTGGACATCAAGAAGCGCAGCACCATAGATATACCAAGCACATCACCGGCCACGTATCCCAGCAGGACAGGGTCTGTCTGGAAGCTTGGATTCGCAAAAGTCCGAAACATTCGAGCTTTCGTCTCTCGTGATACTGCTTGCCATAGCTGGTAGTTCGTGCAAGCGCGGCAGCACGCTGGCCCAGGTTCCTCCCATTGTAGGCATTCCTCCACACAATCGTTAGCACAGTACCTCGGTGCCGGTAGCGCCAGTTGTACTGGAATGCTGCTCTTGAGCATACTTAGAAGTCCCGAAGACCGGTCACCGTGTAGTAGGGATTGCTCGAAATCATTGTAGCTGCATCTCTCCCGGGTTTCTGTCCAGGCCCGTCTGTCAAATTGGATTCCATCGTCATCGGCGGGCTCTAAACCAACGTCACGCATAATAAACTCGACAATTACTGCCAGGTCGAGATTATTAGACCGGCACGGGCAGGGGTGCCCATATTGATTGACGGCATTGTTATGGAATCCATAGGGGCATCTTGTTCCCCATATCGGATCTGGGCCAAAGTTGAATTGTGCGGGACGGGGCGCACCAAACAGCGCGCGCTGGCCGTCACCCCGGAGCCTGAGTTTCCAAGTGGGGCGGAACAATGGAGTCCTTGGAACTGGTCCCGTGATGTCATTAAATTGTCTTCTAAGGGTTCCTCGGTAGATTTCGTCGAGAGTGGCATCCAGAACAATAATATCTTGTTGAGGATTAAACCAGACCTTGATGATGGTTGTATCAAAGATGATTTGTTCAAAGATGGCTGCAAACTGTTTCAGTACTCAAGTCAGCATCTTTATTACTAAAACCGGGAAAATGATATATGGGCCGGGGGCTCCAAGTACCTGCTGCAACTGATCAGCAGTCTCGATGTTCCGGATCATGTGCAAAATATGAAAATTAACCACGAGAACTTTGTCAACAGCAATACTCATACATGAAGCCAAATACTGATCCTCCACCAGGGGGTAGTAGCCTTCAGTTTCCACTCGCGCCGTGCCATCCAGGATAATATTTCCATCCGGCCCAATATCATAGCCATTTGGTTGGCGAAATGACCGATCTCCAAGGCCCCTCACGCTCATCACCATCTGTCTATAGAACTCTGTTGGAAATTCCAAAAACTCCACGTCTATTCCCACGGCATACTTGAACTGGTTGCGCGAGGGCTCCCTCGTGGTGTAGTATGGAAGGTTTCTCAATGTCTGCTTAATTAGGTTGATTGCAGGTGCAACTTGTTCGGGACGCTCGACCGACACGCAATTTGTGAAAATCACAGACTCATTTTCGAATGCCGGGAGGCTCCCGTTTGAGCCTGGAGCAGTGGCAAAGGAATTGTGACATTGGAGCCTGTTCCCTTCAGCCCACCAAAGCACCTCCCTAATCTCAGAAGGATCGGTGAGAGCAATTCGAGGTTCGGCACCCAGCCGTGGCCGGGGCCTGCGGTATTTGACATACTCAAGGAAATCATAAGCGTGGTATCCAGAACGCTGAACATCTTGAGGACTATATAAAGGATTAACTCTCCTACACTCCTCCTCAAGTCGAACAGTGTCAAAAAGTTCTTTTTCCTGTAGTTCGAGGGCTATGGGTATGTTTCTGCGGGCTGCCCTTAGCGCTATATTGGCTTCGGTATCCACCTTATTCTGGGGGTCCACGAACCCGGGAGTCCCAATGCCTTGATTTGGAGTCCAACTCAGTCCAAGGATGAATCGACCCGTAAAGGGGAGTCGATGAATATAATAAAGACCGCCATTTAAAATTATCAGCGTAGCAAAACTCAGGCGGCAAATATACCAGTAAGTCGAACCTTGAGTGTCAAGTTGTATCCATGGAAGCAACGCGTGCAAACAGATAGAAATGAAAGCATAAACAATTATGCGCCCTAGATTCTGGCCCGTTTGTTCAGGGGAAAACCTTCCAAAGTGGCTAGCCCGAACGAAGTTCAATGCCAGCAATGTGCAAATAATCCATGTTAGATCTGTCATTTCTTGCGAATTGAAGTCCAGGCAGGTACGGTCAAAGGGGAAAGGTATATAGAGACTGTTCCCACCCTAAGTAAAATTGTATCAAATTACGTCCAATGCTAACCGGGATATATAAAGGGGATTTTGATAAAATGGGTGTGATGTCTGCACCCCAATACATGCTATCATAATACCTTATAGAGTTTTTACTGGGACCTTGCCTTTGTTTCTGGGAAAGTAGTTCCTGAACGCCCGATTTTGCGTATCAATAAAGAACTTTGAGAAGTAGTCATTCAAATAAAATAATAAAGCAGCCGCTTCGAATGTTCCTCAAGTATGATCCAATACGTTTATTGATCTCACAGCATTCCGATATTAGTAGGACTCACAACAAAACCGGCAATATTAGGAGAGTATTGGCCTCACCAGATGAATAGCCATTTAGCAGGTCGAGGTAGCACCGTCAAATCAGTATAAGTACATGTAACGCAATTATGTTTCCTTTGTCTTATTTCCCCAGAAGACATTATACAATATCTTGGCCGGCTCCGCACCCGCTGTATCCGCTTCCCTTTCTGTATGCATGAGCCCCTTTGTTCGAAAATGTATGTGAATCCTTGCGGGGAATTCTCCTGCTAGAATGTTGTGTAAGCTATTATTAGTAGATACATTTATTTTGAACACGGAGCTAGGATATAGTTGTGAATACTTTCCCAGTGGCTAGGTAACATACATGTATTTTTCACCCATCTCCGGATCCAGGCTATGGAGAGGCCCATGGTTAACTTTTTTTCAGGCTTATTTGAGGCCGACACACCCGAATGTCTTATACCACGAGGCAGGGACCCTCGTTTCTTGAGTAAGTTAGGACACTCCTCCTAAAGTAATGATGCCTCGAGGTACCTGCTACACGCACCGGCACTAGTACAATGCATTTAATACCGGATGATATAATAATAAATCGTATTGTGACCCTCGATACTTTTACCTTATATGTAGTTTATATCCAAAAATCGATTGCTTTTAGGAAAAGAAAAGATCCATCACCGAGATCATGTTAGTGTACACCATATGACTTTTCCTAACTCTTAAAACTTTACGGGGCGAAGGAAAAACAGCATCCCCCGCACAAAGTTCAAAAATTCAATGCAGATATCTCAAGTATGATAATATCATATACCGGGTTGGAACCCACGAATGGAATTCTAACAGAGGGTACAGCTTCCTAAAATCAAGTGTAAGGTAATCCATCAACTACCAATGATAATATGTCCACTTGAATACATTGACCTAGTCCTAGATAGAGAATGCTGGTCGAAATAATCCCTTATTAGTCGAGCCTTAAACATACAATGAAGCTTAGCCTACTAGCTGCCGCGTATCCGAACCACGTTTTGGATTGCGTGTCGGAAGACAACCGGTTCGCTAGGAAATGTTACATATGTGATGTGCGTACTTATGTATGTATAAAAAGCTTGTACCTACATCACCACATTGAGTACATAACGTTATAACTCTAAACGGACCATCCGGCAAGGTAGTGACCAACGATTCTGAGACGTACGTATGTTTCTATTAACAGGGAGTTTTTTTCTTATGTACCTTACATCCTATTCGCAGTGAATCTTCGTTAGAGTAGATCAATCATCTTCAGATTCAATAGATATACCTTCAAGTAAAATACTTGCGCAGCTTATAGTGTTTATGAGACAACCCAGTCTTTGACACTTTAGGCCAGAATAATAGGAAAGATACGATGGTTCAAGACATCAGCAGCGCGGAATAGATGATTATGAAGAGCAATCCTTTTCTTATTCGTTATTTTCCTGCATATGCCGCTGCTCCTGGGAAACCCCAGGAACAGGAGTCCTAGACCAATCTCTCTATGCCTAGCCAGCACGAGGGTGATAGAAGGGCGCCCATTCGTCTTCTTTCCTGCCCCCAAGTACTCGGGGCAGGCAAAAAGTACCGGACAATGCAAGTTTTGTCTCTGGGCTTTTTTTGCAGTAGTTCACGCCTAGCACGCGCGCCCATTGGTGAACCAAAAACCTACATTGTCCGGTACTTTTTACCTACCCCGAGTATCACGAGCGACCTGCCGCAGGCTTCGCGATATTCAAGCCTTTTGCTTTGTTAAGCAAGCTTTTCTTGCTTATCATTAATTGGTACATAGTTGCAACCTCCGCAATGCTCATCACCTAATCTAGTACATACTCTACTAGTGCCATGGGGGCTCTAGAGACCCTAGTTTTACAAAAAGCAATAATCTTTCTTAGTGATGGTGTCGTTGCGTTGTTGTCGATCCACCTACATACGCGTACACACAGACCAGGCAATGCTTTCCGAGTCCCAATAATTTCAAACGTCTGATTGAACATATCTGACCGCTTGATTTGGTGTTCTTTCCTTTCTAACATTCGAGGTTACGGAGCGGAGGAAGCGCCGTTCTTCCCCTTAGAATCTCGGTAACCTCCCAGGCCGGTTCTCTCTAATTTCATTCTAGGATGTGGGTGGGTTTAAGCTATGGAATTACCTATAACCCCAAAAACCACCATGTAGTATGCATGTTTATCTGTATACTGCCAAGTGTTAGCGACTTGTCGATCACAGGTTGGAGAAATATAGGTACTTACCCTACCCACCTACTCTACAGCATGTATATAGGGGGAGCCCCTTGTCACCCGGTTTGATAGGCTTCCAAGAAGTTTATAATTTAATATGCAGCGTATGATGTATTTCAGCCAAAATGCCACTACCTCCATAATCCAGCGACACGACGCCTGCATCTAAATGTCTATGATTCAGAAGATTCGCTCGTGCCACGAGATTAAAGAATTGTGGGGCTTTTTCGGTAATGGGAACCAAATCCCTGTGGCGGTCTGGCGTCCTATAGTTTGCACGTGTTTTTCCGTAAATAGTGCGCCCTAACGCCTACATGGGCGGGGTGGAATAAGCAGGTGAAAACACAGCCGCACTCCGATCATGAGGGTGCGATAACACGCATGTAGGAAGAGGGCGGTGGAACAGAAATTTGGATCGGAATGAAACAGCAGGAAGTGAAGAACTTCCTTTCTTTTGCTAGAGCTACATGTAGTAGAGTACATAGAGATGACTGAAGACGCGTCGTTGACTGTGTGAGTGGACATGTATCATGTATGTAGAGTTGTTACGTGAACAAGCGAGTGTATGAGCGTGCCGCTGGAAGAATTAAGCGGCCTTTGAGATGGGCCACATAGAAGTCTCCTAGCTAGCTATAGCACCTGTTTATTCCTTCTTGACCGTCAAGTACATAATAGGATCATAATCTCATCATCATCGGTTCTCAAGCAGTACACAGCGCGCGTGTACCTACATCATTTTCTATTATTATTCCACCCCCAGCGCATTCCTGACAACATTCTGGGTTTTATATCTTGCCCGCGTTCAACAGTACTGCCAACCTCTGGGCAGTTCAGTTATAGATTAGCTCGGCTTATTGTTCTAAACCGCAGTTCTCGCATTCTATGGTAACGAAGCACACGATCCTTCCTTCCACTCTCCCCCCCCCCTCTCGACCCTCATCCTGTCCACCACCACCATATCATAATCGTCCTCGTCCACTCAACCCGAACATCATTTTGATCCTAAGAAGCACTTTCACTCTCTGCCCGTCCACATACCTGCAGAATAAACTCATTATTTTGACCGCTACTAAATTCTGGAGTCACGATTGTAGAGTGTTAATCTCTCGGAACCTCCGGTCACTCACGGCCCCGGAGATCAAATACAGCAGACTACACCTTCAAAAATGCCTGCTCTAGACGCCTTCAGGAATAAACTCCCGAGTAGAGTTGTTCTCTCGTAAGTTCTCTAGACTGTACAAAGATATTTGACTCCAGACAACTAACGCGTCAAGTCAGCTATGCCTTTGACTATTTCATCATCATGTTAGCAGCTCTCCAGTCTTGACTTCACCACGAGATTCGACTAATCCCATAACTTGACCAGATTCTTCATCATCGCATTTTCAGCACTCGACTCAGCGGAGCCTCATCACCAGCGTTTTTCGCTAAACAACGAGTCGTTGCAATACCCATATGCGGACCCTGAGCGAATCTCAGCTGCCGAGGCAGGTGTGATTGCTTGCTTGTTCCCTTTGATATGTGTAATCTTCTGGACCATGATCATAGATGGTTTGTATTCGCACCACAAACCAGCACAAACCAGGAGACGTCTTTTGGGCGGGGGTGGTAAATGGACGATGGCGGATAGATTATGGGAGATGAACTGTGCAATTTTAGGGTTGGGGTTAAGCGCCGCGGGATCAATCGTAATTACCGGCGCACTCAAGAATACGACAGGCAAACCAAGACCTGATCTCATCGCGAGGTGGGTTTGAGACACTTCTATCAACACTTGTGGATGGAATGATTCTGGGCTCCATCAAGCTTACGGGGCTAGGCAGAGACGAGCGAAACTAACGACATGAAATAGGTGTATGCCGAAGCCTGGAAGTCAGAACCAGAAGCCATGGGGTCTTGTAACAAGTGACATTTGTACACAACCAGATAACCACATCCTCAAGGATGGGTTCAAAAGCTGGCCATCCGGCCATGCCAGCAGTATGCTCTCCCCACAACCTTGAATTTTCTTCAAAAGGCTGACAACACCAGTTTCATTCGCTGGCCTTGGGTTTCTATCATTTTTTCTAGCTGGTAAACTACACGTCCTGGACACCCGTGGGGAAGCCTGGAAAACTATTCTGGTGGTCATTCCTCTTCTTGCCGCTAGTCTTGTTGCCGTCTCTCGAATTATGGACGCCCGGCACCACCCTTTTGACGTTATAACTGGAGGTCTGATGGGATTTTTGGTCGCCTGGGCATCGTATCGCCAATACTACCCTGCTCTCACTGATACTCGAAAAAAGGGCCGTGCCTACCCAATGCGATCTTGGGGGACTGATGAGGCAGACCGAAAGCTTGGCTATGATGCTGCAGGACAGTTCAACAGTGGGCTCGTAGCGGACGAAGAGGAAGGTCAAAAACTCGGCGTTTTCAATCCACAGCCATCCCCAATGCCATTGTCAGGAGCTGGTCTTTCGGGTGCTGGCGGAACAGGTATGGGCTTTATGATGGAACGAACAACTAGCAGCTTCTCTAACGAGTCCGCTGCAATTCAAGCCCGAAAACGCGAAGCCCAGAGGTCTGCCGGACGAAAGAACGGATTTTACGATCGCGATGATGAATTCGTGCACAGTTCAGAGGAAGGCATCGAGCTCCGTAACGCCCCTCAGCCCCTCCGAACATCGTCATATCCGCCACCGACAGGGATAAGTGATGAAAGCGGAGACACTAGGTGGGGGATTTCACAGGCAACGGCGGCCATAACGGGAGCAGGAGCTGGTCAGGTTGGTGGATTCGAGCCGGTACGAAGGTCGGACACAGATTTTAACAATTTTGATATTAAGACTACACCTATGGGCACCCGGGAATTGAACAGGGGGGGATCTGGAGGTTCGACAAGCCCATTAAAGGAATAAGTGCATAGAAGCAAACGATGGCAGGGTCTAATTGTGATTTATCGTTATCTTTTTTCTTTACATATTGATACTTGTTATAAGTCACGTCTGCTTTGGTCTCATTCTCTGAATGATAGAAAATTGATTGTTGATATCCTGTATTTTTTTGTACTTCATTTTTATTACCATTTATTTATTTTCGGTTTTTTTTTTTTTTGTCGTTTTTGATAGCAACCCATGTGCTAGGGCTACCTATTTGAGCGAATACCCACAACTTATTTTTTTCTCGGCATGTTCTTTGTTCACTTCTTCGTCTTTTCTTCTATTGCTTGTTTGGGATACCCCGGCTTTATCTACATACTTTCCCTTATTTTCTTTGTTCATTCCGGGATTGGGTCAAGGAGGGAGGGAGATCTATTTGTGCATAGTTCGAATTCGAAAGTTGAATGAATGGAACGACCTGAGAACACCATGTTCCTCACATTTGGATTAGGAATGTCTTGGATCAAGGACGTTCACCCTCCGCTGGAAGTGCCCATTGTCAATGTTTTTAGGAGGTGCCCTGAGAGGTCCACGGGGTGCCTTTGGCTTCGTCGAGCACTCTTTCCCAGTGCTCGGTCTCCGAGCTACCGGAGTGTGGCGCTGGTGACTGTAACTCTAATCTCAGACTAATTAGCTAAGCCTCAGCCTCGGGCTCAGAGTGAGTCGCGCGTTTGGCTCGTTTAATAATACCCGCGTTGCCACCATTCAACATTCTCCATTCTTAAGAACATAAGGTTTAACACCACAAGTATAGTATTTGTGATTTTTTTTTTTTACCTATTTATTATATCATGTAGTTTATTGATTCGAGGTACAAAAATTTGCATGCAGTCTTCGACTATGGCATAAAAGCACCTAACCCCTTCCTAAAAATACCTGAACCACCCAGAAAAAGAGAAAGTGACCAAGACAAGGCTTAAGGAAAGAAAGCCTGAGAGCGGAGAGAGTTCAAAAAAGCATAGCGTAATACAAAGGAAAGATATATGAGACCGATAGCGAGTATAGTATTTGTGATACATGAGCCTTACATATATTACCATTTGCGTATAATTTCTAAGATGAGTTGATTTTGGAAATTTTGCCGGTGCTCATGCCAGGCGCGCGGCTATTCTCAAACACGTTGGCGGTGAAGAAATAACTTACATAAACTTTCGAAGAATCATGTATGTGGCTTGCGTGCGTTTGGTCCTCCGAGGTCCCGTATTGATACGTACATATATACATACATGTATAAGCATCAAGACTCAACTATGTTATACTCAGATCTAAGTACATATAGTAACACCTACATTTACGTATTTGCTACTAGAACAGAAGTGTACAGTATACGTATACACGTGTACAAGGTCTAGTATATGTACATGTATGTACATGTAAGTACTAAGCACCACGCTACAGATACCCACCGCACCTACTTACTTGTCTTTAGTCTAATTATAATCCGATATGGCTAGCTAGGATAATGTCACTCCATTCATTTAACCATAACTTAAGTACTTGCATTTCTCTTTCCCCAGAGTGCTACTACATGTAGTACACTGAGCTTGAATCAGCAGTATTAATTCGAAACACCTTGCGCAAGTTTCAAGTTTCCCTAGGACCATGCATATGATTTTCCTTGCACATATGGATATTGAAGCATTCAAAATAATAAAGAGAAGGGACTTGAAACTTTGATTAATGGATAGATATCGTTTCAAATCATGAAAACGTGCGACCATGCGATGACCAGTATATAAACACGCATTTCTAGTACTAGCAATCGGTATGTAACTCAGAGCAACTCAAATCAGTTAATTGGTTATTTATCTACTAGATTCATCTCCTTTTTACCTTACCAATCGTTATTTTTTAAACCTCCGGCGACTAAGCAAAATATTCAACATGCCACCAAGAAATATTCGTTACGACGATCGGGGTGTCTTGGGACGCCTTGCTTGGTATTATTTAGGCTTCAACCCTATCATGATTGGTCTATACGGCCCTTTCCGCACAATTATGGACCTCAACTTACGAGGGAGCCTAGGCCAAATTTTTGATCTTTTATTCGGTTATTACGAGTTCTTCTACCACTGTGTTTTACTCTTCCCCGCCGCTATAACCAGGCTTTTTACTGCCTTGTGGGGTCTGTTCTGCAGTATTGTAGACTTCATTCACCACCCTATGAGGCGGTCTCAAAGATTCCGTTCCCGCACCTCTCTTTGGCTCACTAAGATTACTATCATTCTCGGTATCTTTCATTTCGTCTGCTTTAACATCTACATTAGCTATCTAACAGTAGCTCCCACTCTCTGTTGGTTGGACAAGGACTGCCGCAGCTTTCCTCCAGAGGTGAATTACGGCGATTTCTTGATAAGTGTGCCAGCAGTACCCGCAGTCAAAGCTTATAACATTCTAACTGGACCAAGTACATATGAATATTTCAAATTACCTAAGTACCAAGCGATCAAAAAGAGAGATCATGCGGTTTTCTTCCTGCAGGCATCAGCTCAGAATTTTGCAGATATCGTTCGGGCTGTAACTGAAAGTATGCCATTTTCGAGCGCGGCGTTTTTTTCGGAAGAGGAAGTTGTCCCAGAAGCCGGAGCCTCAGAAACAGCGGAAGAGACAAAAATGAGAGAGGGGAATACTGGGCAAGAAAAGACTTCGAATAAGGCCACTATGATTAGTTCGAAATATACACCATTATCAAAGACAAAGAAGGGGTCAGCTACCAATGATAACCAAGATACAAATGATTTGGACGGAAGTAAATCCACGGAACTTTCGAACGAAAGAGTTGAAGTACTAACTCAACCTACCCTTTATCAAAAGCTATTAAAACTTTTATTAGGATCATCACCAACTTCCCCAAAAAGGTTTGTCTCTCTGCTCGTTCACTTTATTACACCATGGGGCTGAGATATGTGGTTATGAGTCTCTTAAATGGAGATATGTCTCTCTTGCAAGGATTATATGCAGCCACGCACCACTTTTGGTTTATTTTTCTTAGGGGTTTATACGTTGCGAAAACAGTACACGCTTATGTGGTGGAGCTAGTATGGGCTCAAGTGCTTGCTGCTGAAAATGAGCCACCGGCGCAGCATCTATTAATGTTTTAGATTGTTAGTTTCATGTACCACTATAGACATTTATATATCAGTAATTTAATCACCGAGCGATGATTTACAATGCGATATCTCCTTAGGTACATGTGGCTATATATATCGTAATTTATATCATAATACCACTACAGATAGCTTTATGCATGCGCAGCTCTACCGATTGATCATGAATATATATAATATATACAGGCCTATGGGTATTTCTTTCCGAACACGATTCAAAGAACACAGAGAAACCTCAAACATTTACCAACCTCGGCACTTATTAACATATTGCGATCCTTCAGTTCTGTCTGCTAAGCTACAATTTTGTAAATATGCTTATATATAGTTTAGACCCCCTTTATTAGGCATGCTAGTTACTAGTCGCTATAACCAGCTCGAGCTATCCTTCATTGTAGAATCGCTCTAGTAGACTAATGTACTACGTATAAGCTGTGCGCGATAAAGGTTGTAAGTTGAGGCCGCTACTAGATCTAGATACATATATAACGGATGCTAGCTTCTGTGCAGGAGTTATAGGTACGTAGCACCCCTATTTATGTTTTAATTCTATCGGATATTGCAATAACCATCGGGTTGCACACAATTAAATGAGGTAATCAATCAATCAATCAAACAAATCTTTATGTTTTAGTTCATGGTATATCACTCGGTATAAATACTCGCCCTTCAACCAGGATGTTTAAACCCCGAATACTTACCCTGATTCTAGACCCATACATGTACCTAGAGAAAGTATGTAGGAGAAGTAAAGTAATTGATCGTGTTATTGTTCTAGCTAAGGGGGAATGCCCCGTATTTATACTAATGAAAGGTAGTACAAAAGAAATACAATGAGTCATGGACGTGTGAGTAATAGAATGACTAATAGGAAAGTGAGTCATACGCCGATGACAAATACTATAATGAAATGATGAGAATCTTCCAGAACTATGAAACGTGCCGAGCGTCCTATTTCAAGACTTCCCCTCGTGAGCCACAGTGAATAGTAGAAGAAAATAAAACATGTTTGCCTTTATCCAATCCTTTGGTAAGTAAATCCGCCACGTTCTCGTTCGTAGAAATATATTCCAGTTCAAATAATTCATCCTCAAACCGTTCCCGAATAAAATGAAAATGTACGTCAATATGTTTAGACCTTTTATGAAAGACAGGATTTTTAACCAAGGAGAGAGAACCGTTGTTGTCGCCTCGAAGAATGAAAGAGAGATTTGGTTTTCGTTCCAGCTCGTGGATTGCATTCCTTAACCAGATCAGTTGTCGACTGGTGTCCGAGAGGGCCATGTATTCCGCTTCAGTTGTAGAAGTGGCGACAGATCGTTGCTTATAAGAGCGCCAGGAGATGAGGGCTTCCCCTAGCATGAAGCAGTGGCCGGTGAATGAACGGCGATCGTCGATGTCGGAGGCATAGCTTGCGTCGCTATAGCCGATGAGTGCAGTTGGTCGCGTTTTGGCGTAAAAGAGTGACCAATCGAGGGTACCTTTGAGATAACGGAGGACGCGATGGACTGCAGCTAGATGAGCCTTAGTGGGACAGGAAGAAAATTGCGAGAGCATGGTGACGGTGTAGGCGAGGTCGGGTCTAGTGCCGATGACTGCGTACATGAGTGAACCGATCATCGACTGATAAGTTGTTGGATCGTCGATTTTCTCAGCTTCCGTTCCTTTTTGGAGGTGGACGTTGTTGTCGATAGGTGTTGCCACAGGTCTTGATTCGTCGAAGCCGTATTTGATAAGTATACGCTTGAGATAGGCTTCCTGTGATAGGATGATGCCTGTTTTTGTGTGGATCAAGTGGATTCCGAGTGCCCAGTTGGCTGTGCCAGTTTCCGTCATTTCGAATTCAGAGTGGAGGAGGAGGCTGACGCGGTT